TTTTAGGAAACTGATTTCTTTAATTACATAATGTGCCAGCTACACATTTGGCAGCAGTAAACTTTCATCCTGACAGGAAGAAGGAAAATAACCAGTGGAGCATAGAACAAATTTTCATTGAAAGCACTAAAAAAAAAAATTAGGAAGGCAATAAGCCCATATGTGCTAAAGGCCCAATATTAGAAAAGTTAGAAGACAAACTGATGGCTAGTAAAAATAATGAATGAAATTCAAACAACAGAAACAGTGCCCAAGAAGTGAGAAGAAGCATATATCATCTTAATACAGAAGAATGGAATGACAGACTGAATAATTTGTCTACTGAATATTGATTACAGAATATTTATTACTATACTGATTAAATGTATAAGGAAATGCATTCCTGGATTGACCCAAGGAGATCATACAGGCTATATTCCAGAGAGGAAGATATTAGACAATAGATTTATCATAAATGCATCAGAATATATCCAGACTAAGACAAAGAAGGCAGCAGCAATATTTTTAGATGCAGAAAAAGCTTTTGACAACTTGGAATGGTTATTTTTCCCCCAGAGGTTCTAAATAAAATGAATCCCAGAGAAGAATTTATAACCTGGGATAGAAGTTATATATCAACAATAAAAAGCAAATACTATAATGAATGGAACCTTTTCTACACATGTTTTAATATGTATAGTTACAAGGCATGGATATCAATCCTCTTTCTCCTTTACTATTTGTAATTTCGAACTCCTAGCAAACAAATTCTGAAAAGATTAAACAAATAACTAGGATTATAAAGAGAATCTAAAATGAAGCATCAGGCAGATGATATGGTCAGTGAACTCTAGGTTAGTGAGGATTATTTATATGATTATATCCAAGGAAAGATGTACAGTGAAAAAGAACAGTTGCTGGTTGAGATCTACCTCAAAAGGAAAGGAAATTACATAATTGATTTTGGTCAATCTTGTTCAGAAGAGATTCTCTGGTTTGTTAAAAATTGTGGTTTACCCATCTGGCCCATTTATATAGTTAAGTTGATTTCTGATTAATTTAGCAGTGCTCATCAGTGTCAGTGAACAGAAGGAAAAGGCAGGCTTTGTGGAGAAGATATAAAATGCCAATGGGAATTGCAGCAAGGACAGAAACAGCTTTGAAGTGGAACTACTCAGAAATAGAGGCAAAGGTTTTACAAATGGTATCAGTTTTGTAATTGATGCCTCTAGAACATGAGCTAATGGAAAACAACTATTGCACCGTATATGCTTTCACAAACACCAGATTACTCAAAGGCTAAGAATGCTGCAGAAATACTGTGAAAAGGATGGTATTGGGGCTCACCATAGCTGTTCAATGAGTGCAGTGATACCAAATACAGTGTTTCTCAAGCTTGTGCAATACAACTCCCAGAACTCTTCAGTCAACATTGCCCTAAAGCAGGGGTCAGCAACCTGTGGCTCTGGAGTTGCATGTGGCTCTTTCACCCTTCTGTTGCGGCTCCCTGTCACTCAAAATATGCGTCACAATAGTCAATGTGTGACACCTGCCGGCACACGATTTATTGAGTTTTTCAACCCCCGGTAGGCATCCTAGGATTTTCTTGGATAAATCCAAGAAAAGAAAAGTTTCAGAAGAAAACAGAATGTTTAATTTTTTAAAAAATTTGATTTATATGCCGCCCTTCTCTGGAGACTCAGGGCGGCTTACAATGCGTTAAGCAATAGCCTTCATACTTTTGTATATTTATACAAAGTCAGCTTATTGCCCCCACAGACTGGGTCCTCAATTTACCTACCTTAGAAAGGATGGAAGGCTGAGTCAACCTTGAGCCTGGTGAGATTCGAACTTACAGTAATTGCAGACAGCTGATGTTAATCACAATGGTATCAGTCTGCTGAGCCACCAGGCCCTATGCTAAGGGCCATATGCTAAGTTTTGTGACCACTCAAGAGATAGTCAGGCACGGGAAGGTTTTTGTGGCTCCTGGTGTTTTCTTTTCTGTGGGAAACGTGTCCAAATGGCTCTTTGAGTGTTTAAGGTTGCAGACCCCTGCTCTAACGGATATAGTTAAGGCAGTGGAACAGGACTGTAGCAGCAAATATTCTTTCAGATTAGTCAATTTTGCAACCTAGAATTTGGATCGCATCCCAAACTTGCCTGGAAATATTATTGCTGGGTTAAGGGGCCACAACAACATATGAATAGCAATTTAGAATTATAGGTAGTCCTCAATTTACAACAGTTCATTTAGTGACTGTTCAAAATTACATCACTGAAAAAAGTGGCTTATGATTGTTTTTCACACTTATGACTGCTGCAGCATCCCCATGGTCACATGATTTACATTCAGATGCTTCACTCACATTTATGACCACTGCTGTGTCCTTGGGTCATTTGATCCCCTTTTTCGACCTTCTGACAAGCAAAGTCAACAGGGAAACCAGATTCACTTAACAACGTTACTAAATTAACAGCTGCAATGGTTCACTTTAGCAACTGTGGCAAAAAAAGTCGTAAAACAGACCACAACTCACTTAAATGTTTCACTTAACAACATACATTTTGGGCTCAATTGTGGTCGCAAGCCAAGGACTACCTGTACATTTGTCCCATTTCATTCATTATGAAAAAAAAAATGCATCAAGATGCAAGAAACCTTACATTAGTCTCCCTGCAGCTTTCTTCAAATATAGAGTCCAACTGACAAATGTCTCTTTTGAAAACTAAAGAGCTGTTACCAGTCCAAGGAATCAGACTTCCCCAACCTGGTGCCCACCTTTGAAGTGTTGCACTATACTTCAGATATTAAAATATGCAGTCCCAGCAATATGATAAAGCAACATGCTTTATGGATGATTAATCTTCTGTTCATGTTGTAGCATGCCCTCCTTCTCCTAGCAGCGTTCTCCACACATGGTGCAAATTGTTCTCCAGAAGATCCATTGGCTCTTCCAGGCCAGAACACTGGTGGGACAAAAGGACAATGCTAGAAGAGAAGAAATCCATTGCCCTGGTCAGCAAATGCAATTGGATGCAATCCAGAGGAGACATAATACCAGGATATTAGATTGCTTAATAATGGTGAAAACTGTTCTCTGTTTTGTAGGACATTCCTGACAGCCATTTCTACATCTACCAATTTTGCAATATTCCTGGTATTTCAATAACTCACAGCAAACTATCTATAATTGCTGGCTGAAGCAAGGAAGTGCAGCTTTCTAACAAGTGACTACATAAGACTGAGATGTCAAAATGTGCTCTAGAGCAGAGGGCTTAAACTTTACCAGGCTGCAGAACCTGTTAGTTAAAAAAAATAAAAATCCCAGAACCTGTGATTCAAGATGCAAAGTTATAGTGACTGAAAATCGGCTCTGCTCAAGTGATCCCCCCCCCCCGCTTTGTTAGTCTTTCACAAAAACCACTGCAAGTTCCCACAGAATCTAGGGTGTGCCACAGCCTTGACTTCTGTCCCAGAACACACAGTGAGATGATCATGGTTGGGAATACAATATTATTCTACCTTCCTGTTGTCACCACTGGGGGCAAGGTTTAAGTGGCCATATTTACAAAGCAGGAAGGGTATTATAAAAAGATCTGGCTATAAACAAGGTAGCACCCACTCATTTATGACCGTGAAGATGTGCAAATTTTCAATCTTATCTTTTGAAGCATCTAGGCCCCATTAAGATTGCCACAAGCGTCAGCTGTTGTGGAGTTCACCTTTCCCCTGACATGCAGGGGAAATCCGGGTTTGCCCTGAGCTTTCTTTGCAGAGAAAAAAAAATATCCCAGGGTCCATTGTGAATTTAATTGCACATCCCATTAAACACACTGCAACAAGAGACAATTCTGTGCATCTTGAAATGAAGTTCCAATGCTGAAGAAAGACACAACTTCTTTGAAGAAAGACAAGTGTAGGAAGAAATATCCTTCTGGGTTCAGCTCCAAGTGGGGAAAAAGACACTGGAAACATGGAGACTGCTTGGAAAGATGGTTTTATGGAGGACAGGATCACATGGTTTGAGTTCCTGGGCTGAGATGCTGCGAGTCCCCAGGTTTTATGCCCTCTCTGGCTTTGAACTTCCTGGGGCCCAGAAAGAGTATCCTGATTGGTTGTCAAACTCCCAGGGGGTGGGGGTCTTAGCTAGCCTTGCTGGCTGATGGAATCTTCCCAGGTGCCATGTGGTGAGTTTCTGTTGTTAGATGGGTCCTATTGTGTTGCAGATGATGGTCCATTGACCAAGATTGAGTTTCTGCCTCTGGCCCATTGACAAAGGGTGGGGGCAGGAAGATAGGAGCTGCTTCCTCTTTAAAACATGCTTCTCATTTCTCATCCAGGGAAACATAATATTCTGCCTTTTTAATATTTCCTAAAATATTTCATTCTTCTAGGAAAGGGGTGGGTGCAAATTTACTCCAACACTACCAGAACAACACCCCTTTGCTTCCTTCCCATTTAGGCTCAAAATATGCTAGGCCTTTTGCTTGCTGTGGTAATCATCCCAACTAGCTTAGAAGGTAACTTCCTAATAAAATTCTGAATGAAGCCACGACTGATATTTGTTTAGGATTTCAGCTGGACAATGCCAATTGCTTACTTGTGAGTAAGCAGCACACAGACAGTTCCTGTCTATGAATGTTTCCCTCCACAGAGCTGAATGAAACTTCCAAGTAGTAATCCTGCACAGGAGTAAAGCCCGATTCCCATTTACACACCAAAGCCACGTTGGTGAAGACACCTTAAACTCTTTTCTTTATCTTTCAGCACCCTTTGGGCTACTATTTTACTTGGAGAAAAGTCTCTCCCACCCACCCCCGGTCCCACCCTGGGAGGGATTGGAGGGACCCATTCTCCAAGAAACGTGCAACGGACTGGAGTGCGTCCCGAACAAGCCAGGTTGCAACGTTTGGCTTGCAATGTTTGGGAGGGTGGGAAGAAGCCTCCAGTTTCTGCAGAAGAGACAATTCGCCCTGCTGGAAGAAGAGGAGAAATTGTGGGTCCTTTTTTTGTGCTTTCAGGATGGTGGGGGCTCCGCTGGCATCCAAAAAAGGGTCTGCAGATTTGGGTCGGGAAGTGATCAGAATAAAAGTTGGGGGCGGGGAGGACGAGACACCAGTTCTATACAAAGTTAATTTGGGGCTTTGGGGGAAATCTGGAAATTGTAGGAAAAGGCGGGAAATAAAGGATTCAGGCAGAAGGGATTCCCCCCGGACAGAAGATTTGAGGTGGGGAGTTTCCTATGCCTCTATTTGGTTAGAAGTAAATCTCAGTATTTTTCCACAGTAAGTATTCATGGGGATTAAAAGGAGTAATCCAATAGTTATTTCTTCCGAGTAAATACTCTGAAATACTGCCCGCTGCGCAGAAACTCTGCACGCCCTGCATAGTCATTCAGGAACCGAGTTAAATAGGAATTTCCCACGGAGGTCTAAATGTGCGGGCTATTTATTCCCATTAAGTTTATTCCTTATTAAGTTCGGCCGATTTCATTAGAATTAAATTTTTAAGGCGCCTTGAAGGTATTTTTTTAAAGTCCGGCGGAATCAATTGCTTCAGCATGGGTCCAATTCAAATCACATTCGCACGTTACGGATTAGGAATTAATCGGAAAGCAAGATGTAAAAAAAATGTATGGGGAGTGAAACATGCCCTGAGCGTGCAGTTATAAAACCCCCCCCCTTTTTTTTTTTTTGTAAATATGGTGCAAGATGGAAAGCATTGCTTCTAAAGAAAACTATTCAAGTGGGATCTGGAAGATTGAAAATCCAAAATAATGTGAAACTGGGTATAAACAAAAATAGAGAAATTAAAGTATGTAATTGAATTTGAGAAACCGAAACCCCCCCCCCCCCCCCTTTTTGGCTTACTAAAGGGAGCTACTTTAAGAAATCAGATTGGTAGAGGAATAATTTAATAAGGGGGAGTTTCTTGTGCTATTAAATATTACGTACACAAATACCCAAGCAGGTCATGTTAGTCATTTATGGCATAGCAAAATCTTAATCAAATGAATATTTTTTAAAAAAAATTTGTTCCCCCTCTAGAGATTTTTTCCCTTTAATTTGCTATAGGCAGCCAAAGCAATTAAAAGAGCATAATTGAAAAAAAGAAGTGAGAGTTTGAGGATTAGAAAGAGAGAGGATCACAAGGACTTGTACCACTTTAGGGATAATCCAGAGTTGAAAAAAAATGAATGTGTGTTGCCAGCATGTGAGATCAATTAATATTGAGAACCTAATTTGACCTTTCTAAAATATGAGATGGAATTAAAGAAGTCATTATTGTCACATTATTGTGACAATAATGGCCGAAAGAGTCAAAATAATACTAAATGAAATTATTTATTCTGACCAAAATGGGTTTCTACCCAGTAGGCATATAAGAAATAACACACGGATTATAATGAATACACTGGAATATTATGAGCCCCATTCAGAAAAGCAAGTGGCGCTACTTTTCGTAGATGCTCAAAAAGCCTTTGATAATTTAAATTGGAATTTTCTTATAAATCAATTAAATTTTTTTAATTTTGGGGGGAAATTTACGGGAATGATTAGGGCGATTTACTCCAACCAATCGGCAAAGATAATATTAAATGGGGAAACGACCGAGGATATTAGTATATCTAAAGGGGTGAGACAGGGATGTCCATTATCCCCCTTCTATTTATATTTACTGTTACAGATTAGGCAAAATCCAGGAATAAAAAGATTGAAAATTAGGCAGGAAGAATGCAAAGTACAAGTTTTTGTGGACAATTTGGCCTTTATTATAGAAGATCCTCTAGAAATGGGAACCATATTAGTACAGGAAATTGAAGAATTCGGTGAAGTGGCAGGACTCTAAATAAATAAAGAAAAAACTAAAATACTAACTAAGAATCTTACTAACAGGCAAAATGAGGAACTGAAAGAGAAATTGGGGATCCAAATTGTCAAAAAAGTGAAATACCTGGGAATTTGGTTAACGGTGAAATGTTCTTCGATAAAAGAGGACAATTATGAAAAATTGGTACAACAGATACAAAAAGGTTTAGATAATTGGGCAAAATTACAAATATCTTCAATTGGCAGAATCGGCACAATAAAAATGAATATATTACCCAAATTTTTGTATCTCTTCCAAACAGTACCAATAAAATTGGGGGGAAATTTCTTTGAACAATTAAACAAAATAATAGCAACATTTATTTGGTTGGGGAAAAAAGCCTGAATAAAGCTCAAACTTCTACAAGATTCTAGAACCAAAGGAGGTTTTGGCTTCCCTGACTGGGATCTATACTATCAAGCGGCAGCCGTGACGTGGATTAAACATTGGATCCAACTGAACAATAAAAGTATTAACATTAGAGGGCCACAATCTCCAACTCGGCTGGCGTGCATTTCTTTGGGAAGGGAAAAACAAAAACCACACATATTTTCAGAGACAGTGAGAAATGCTTTGATAAACATCTGGGAAAAAATTAGGAAAAATCATTACATGAAAATCCTAATTTGGCTATCAACAATGGAGACGATGATTTACCCAAACATATTAGATTTAAATAAGGTGGTGAGGTATTCGGAATTATTAGATGAACGAGGAAATTTAAAATTGGACCTGGAACAAAAGAATAAAGATTGATTGGTGGCCCTATCTCCAAATTAGAACAAGATATAAAAAAGATCTAAAACAATATGGCATTTATGGAGAACAATTGGAACTTGATAAAATACTATTAGGAACAGGGGGAAAATAATTACCAAAACTTATAATTTCTTACTAAGATTTAAAATGGAAGAAGAAAATGTGAAGGAGACGATGATAAGTTGGGCTAGGAATTTCAGATATAGTATTGAATTAGACCATTGGGATAAATTTTTGAGAGAAAAAATATAAATATGTCAGCTGCCTATAAGGAAAACCTCTATAAAATGTTCTACCATTGGCATTTACCACCAACCAGATTAGCCAAAATGTTTTCAAACTGTTTACCCGAGTGCCGGAGATGTGGCTATAAACATGGAACTTTCTACCACATGTGGTGGACTTGTCCCAAAGCAAGGAAGTATTGGCATAAGATAAGGAAATGTTTGGAAGAAATAACTGAACAAAAGATTGAATTGAAGCCGGAACTATTTCATTTGGGCATTCTAGATGGGAAAATGGGTAAAAAATTTCAATACATAATATTACATATATTAATGGCAACCAGAATCATCTTCGCGCAGAACTGGAAACAGATTGATATCCCTACAGAGGCAATGATGATAAGAAAAATTTATGAGTGTGCAGAAATGGATAGGCTGTCTATGGAATTGAAAGAGAGAGAAGAATCTGTGTACTACCAGGTTTGGAGTAGATGGTATACCTGCTTTGAGAATAGGAGTAAAATTAATGCGTAAGATGTATAAAGTAAAATATATAATGTATAAGAACGATATAATATTGATGATAATGTAATTATATGTGAGTAGATATTATTATAATTTAATCAATGGTATAATATAGGATAGTGAAGTATAGAAATAGTATTTATGTACTGTATTTTTCGGAGTATAAGACGCACCTTTTCCCCCCCTAAAAGGGGATGAAAATTTAGGTGCGTCTTATAAACCGAATGTAGCCCTGCCCACCCACTGGCCCCCACCCTTTGGCCTCTGCCTCCCAGCAGTTACCTCCCTGCAGCAAACAGCAAGAAAAAACTGCTCCTTTCAGTTTCAGCACAGCCTAATTAGCACAAGTTGATTGGATCTGCCTCCCGACTCTCAGCTGTTTTGCGGGGCCTCTGCTGCTTGCTACAAGGAAGAAAATTGCTGGAGCAGATTTTTTTTCCCCTTGTGCTAATCAAGCTATGCTGAAAACGAAAATGAAAGTAAAGCAGGCTGTTTGCTCTAAGGAGGCAAAATTGCTCAGAGGCAGAGGGAGATTTCTTTTTCTTCTTTTCCTAACCAAAAAAGCTAGGTGCATCTTATAGTCAGGTACATCATATACTCCAAAAAATACGGTAAATATGAATGTTATGGATGATATTGATACTGATATGGAAAAGCTGTAATGAGTGAAAATTTGTGTTTTGTGTTTTAAATGTTGAAAAAAATTAATAAATATGTTTTAAAAAAATAAAGTGTAAGTCATGCTAGACAGTAAAAAAATTAGGAATTGGGCCTCCTTAAAAAAAAGATCAAATTCTTAATAATTAATCTTGATGTCTTGCTCGCAAATCAGGACAAGTGATGTTATGCTTTTGAGCTTTTGTAGGAAAAGGAAAATAAATTTTACTTTCCCCGATTGCTGCTTCGGGTGGATGAGGAAGAGTTTTAATGTTACTGTACAGTACATAAATTATGCCTTGTAAAGTGTTTGCCCCTGAGGTTAAAATAGAAAGTGCACTTTTATAGCCAAGAACTTCATTTAGTTTGGAGGGTTGCCAAAGCAGGACAAAAAGCTGGAAGATACGATTTTATCGTTTAGCATTTCCTTTTAAAATCTCAAAAGGATTTAAAAACCCCCCACCAAATACGGACCTGACCCAGGGTTAGAACCTAGATGATAACAATAGCACTTAGACTTATATGCTGCTTCATAGTGCTTTACAGGCCTCTCTAAGCAGTTTACAGAGTCAGTATATTGCCCCAACAATCTGGGTCCTCATTTTACTGACCTTGGAAGGATGGAAGGCTGAGTCAACCTTGAACCCGTCAGGATTGAACTCCTGGCAGTGGGCAGAGTCAGCCTGCATTCTAACCATTGTGCCACCAGTGGGTTAGTGTTGAAAAATGGTCCAGCCTTAGTAAGCTATTGAAATTTTTTCTTACTGGTCCCTCTAAACTAAGTTTACCAAATATGGGGGACAGAATTGTGGACAATCACAAGATAGAAGTAAAGAGAAAACTATAACTCTTTTACCTGGTTTGCCTGGAGATTTGCAATTCAGATCTGGACAACCATTTAGATATGAGCCAGCAGTGTGCAGCAGCTGCCAAAAAAGCCAACACAGTTCTAGGCTGCATAAACAGAGGGATAGAATCAAGATCACGTGAAGTGTTAATACCACTTTATAATACCTTGGTAAGGCCACACTTGGAATACTGCATCCAGTTTTGGTTGCCACGATGTAAAAAAGATGTGGAGACTCTAGAAAGAGTGCAGAGAAGAGCAACAAAGATGATTAGGAGACTGGAGGCTAAAACATAAGAAGGGTTGCAGGAACTCGATATGTCTAGTTTGATGAAAAGAAGGACTAGGGGAGACATGATAGCAGTGTTTCAATATCTCAGGGGCTGCCACAAAGAGGGAGTCAAGCGATTCTCCAAAGCACCTGAAAGTAGGACAAGAAGCAATGGGTGAAAACTAATCAAGGAGAGAAGCAACTTAGAACTAAGGAGAAATTTCCTGACAGTTAGGACAATTAATCAGTGGAACAACTTGCCTCCAGAAGTTGTAAATGCTCCAACAGTGGAAGTTCTTAAGAAGATGTTGGATACGCATTTGTCTGAAGTGGTGTAGGGTTTCCTGCCTAAGCAGGGGGTTGGACTAGAAGACCTCCAAGGTCCCTTCCAACTCTGTTATTTTATTCAATTCTATATGTAATTGTGGACATTTGGATGGCATTTTGGTTCATAATTTTCCTGTGATAATTAGTGTGGTCAGCAGCTCATTTATCTGAAGGTTACCTGCTCCTCTACTCTCTCACCTCTTGCTGTGTTCTTGATTTATTTTTTGCCTTCTTCTCAGGGTTGATTTGTGAGCAAAGCATTGCGTTACAGCAACTTAATTTTATTTTCTAAGAATTTTTTTCAGTGCTTATGGGACTCAAAGCCATCCGTGCAAACAAGGAGAATATTAGAGGCTCCAGCTTCCCATTTATTTATTATTTTTATTCTGAAACAGAAACTAAAACTAAGTGGGGTAGGGAGAGTGGTACTTTACTTCTAGGAAAATATTACCTCCCCTTAAATCTTTCCTTTGTGGTTCTTCCAGTCCTCTTTTTCAAGACACCCAAGGCCACAATGGATCGCCAGCAGGACACAGAAACTGATGAGCATTTCACTAAAATCAAAATGGAGGAAAGTGTCCAGAACAAAATTCAAAGGGAAAATGTATCCTTTGGGCAAGAGGGTAGCTGTAACTATCCAGAAAAGATTGAAGATGTCAATTCCATCTTGTTCAAGAAAGTGCTGGAAGAAGTTGATAAGTGGCCCCCATCATCTTCAGAAGGAGAGAAGAACCTCATTTTGCTGAAGACCGTGCATTTGAAAACAGAGAAAGATAATATCCAGGGGGCTTGTTTAACTGATCACCCAGTGATGCTGCACACTATGTTGCGAAGAGAGGCAGGCTACATCCACTCGTTGGCGAGAATGCCAGATAGCATAGACATTCAGGAGAACCCAAGGAAAGTCTTGGCAATAAGTTTGCCAGAAGACATTTATGTGTTCCATGAGATGGAAGTGATCAACGGTCCAAAAGAAACACTAGGATTTCATGAGGAGAGATGGTCAATTGAGAAGGATCCAAATATTCCTGGGATTCAGGTAACTTTTGTTCTTGATTATTCATTACACTTAGATCTCGATTTATGACCATATGATAGCAACAAAGAGAATGTATGTAAGTCAGGTTTGAAATGAGGGGGGGGGGTGTCTGTCTGAACTTGCTTGTTTTCTTGCAGACGTTTCATTACCTAGGTAACATCATCAGTGCTAGTAAGGAGTAGGGTCTGCTCTCAGTTTATAGTTTCACGACATACGGACAGATTTAACCATAACTTCAATTGGGAAACTGTAACCATCCTAGACCAAGCCAAATCTAAAAATGCTAGGAAAATTGTTAGAAGCCTGACACTTTTTTTTTTTTTTTTTTTAATTTGATTTATATGCCGCCCTTCTCCGGAGACTCAGGGCGGCTTACAATGTGTTAAGCAATAGCCTTCATACTTTTGTATATTTATACAAAGTCAGCTTATTGCCCCCACAAACTGGGTCCTCAATTTACCCACCTTAGAAAGGATGGAAGGCTGAGTCGACCTTGAGCCTGGTGAGAATTGAACTCGCAGTAATTGCAGGCAGCTGGATGTTAAATGCTGCCTTAGGAGGCATTAGCCTCCTACGCCACTCAGGCTCCTCTCTGACAAATTATCATCAATAGACACATAGACATAAACAATTATCTATATCAGTGATGGCTAACCTTTTCCTGACAGAATGCCCAAAGTGCAAGCACACGTGTGTGAATGTGCACACGTGCACTGAACCCCCAAAATGCAATGCCGCGTGGCCCCCCGCATGTGCCCCTCTGTGCATGTGTGGTGGCCCCACACACATACTCCGCCTCCCACACATGCGCGCATGGTCCCCCCGCACGCACTCCATCCCGTGTGCACATGCCCCTGCACACGCCCCTCACATGCGCGGCAGAAACCCAATGAACAGCTGGCCGGCAGGCATGTGCACATGCGCAGCAGAGCCGAACTGAGGTGATGGCTCGCGTGCCCAGAGAAGGCGCTATGTGCCACCTATGGCATGCATGCCATACGTTTGCCATCACGGATCTATATACTATACAAAAGAGACAATCAACAAGCCAAAACGGGAACAAAAAGCCCAAAACACCTCCTCACCAGCAATAGCAGCCAAATGAGCATAGATTACCTCCAAGATTATCACCAGACCAACAATCAAGTAAACAATACCCCAGTCAAGGAACTGCCAAACAAGCCCAACCAAAGAACCTCTAAGACTAACCTCACCAACATTGACAGGGTAAGCCATTAGAATATAAACTGGGAGCAAACCCTACTCCTTACTAGCACTGATGATATTACATAGTTTAGTAATAAAACGTCTGCAAGAAAACACCCAAACTCAGAGAGCACCAAGGACCAGATCTGGGACCAGAATTTCTGTTGTTAAGCAAGGAAGTATGCAGGGATTTATGTTTATCTTTGTTACAATAGACACTATGCATCTGATGAAGTTTACAAATGCATTAAACTTTAATGTATTAATCTGAAAAAAAATCTTACGATGGTCGTTCTGGCAAATTGCAGATCTGAGTATCTGAGCTTTTTTTTTTTTTTAAATTGATTTATATGCCGCCCTTCTCCGGAGATTCAGGGCGGCTTACAATGCGTTAAGCAATAGCCTTCATACTTTTGTATATTTATACAAAGTCAGTTTATTGCCCCCACAAACTGGGTCCTCATTTAACCTACCTTAGAAAGGATGGAAGGCTGAGTCAACCTTGAGCCTGGTAAGATTCGAACCTGCGGTAATTGCAGGCAGCTGTGTCGTTAAAGTGCAAAGAATGGGGTAATATGTTGGGTTTTGCTATGCAGTATATGCAGTAGTGTGATATAAATAAAACAATTTGCATAAAGAAACTAACTTGAGCAACAATACGGATCTGAAGGGGAAAAGGAAATTCAGTGCACACAAGGATATTCACAGGGCACCCATCAGCAAGTCTTTACAGGAGCTGCTCCTGTTCCAGAAATATTGGGGTTCTGTCCCAAGAAAAGACAGATTTGATTTAAAGAGGAGATGCCAACAAGAATGTTGTGAGCCCTGTTGGGTGCTCCAGAAACCAGTTTCCCTTCTGAATCAAATCACTGCACAGCCCTTGACATAGATGTCCAGTGAACTCAGCATGAGGATTCTTAATCTAAATTGCTCTGACATTTTCGTAAAAGAGCATGAAGTCTATAAATCTAAGGCCGGTATCTTGCAAGCAGTGGAACAGATGTGAAATGTTTCTGGAAGTGATGCCACCCACCAGCAGACAGACACTCCTTTTCTGCATTCCTGATGGCACAAATAAGGTTGAAGAATTATTGCAAAGGCTTTGTCTCCTGATTGCAGCAAGGAATAAACGTCTTCAGCAGTAGAAAATTCAGTGGAGATACTTTCAGATCTAAATAAGTTTCTGTTTATACTACACAGTCGCCAGGTATTCATCAAAAGATCCAATATCCACATCTGCTAAAAATTTCCATGGCTGAAACAACTCAACCAAATATATACATTTTAAAATACATCACCAAAACAGAACTGAGTCCTGTGAAAACTTCGGGGGAGGGGTAGATGACCAATGGGATATTTGGGAGGGGTCTATGAAAATTCGCCACGGCCAACTCGCTGCAGGAGAAGATTTACATTTAATATCAAAGAAATGGTGGAATAGAATCATTAAAGGATACAAAAGGAGGGACAGAATGAAATGGGAATGGCAAAAATTAAATTAATTTTTATTTATTTTAAATAATTAAATAGAATTGTTAAATTGTCCCGCAATGCGTTGCCTGCGGTGAGTTTGACGCGGCGCGTTGACCACAGCGAGTTGGCTGTGGCAAGTTGTTCCCATTTGGGAGAACATTATTAGTGGGGGAACACCTAGCTTCTGTTTTTGAATGCAAGGCATACTTTAAAATCAGGCTTTGCCCATTGGAAATACACCGTATAAAGATTTTTACAATACTCTACAGGCAAAAACATAGTAAATTGTGGTCATGTGACCTCAAGGTGCTGCAAATTGTCATAATGGTTATACCGAGAATCCAAAATGTGACCATATCACTGTGGGGCAGATAATCAAAATTTCAAAACCAGATCATAAGTTCCTTTTGGGGGGAGGTCTGTTTTAACTTTGAATGGTTCAGTCATAAGTTGAGTCGTAAGTAATAACAAGAAAGAGACGAGATCCATCTTCTATTTATTGTGTGTGTAGCTTTTTTCTTCCTTTCTCTCTTTTTATTATTGTTTTCTCTCTTCTTCCCTTCGTTGTGTTTTATTAAACAAATAAGGCAAAAAAGAATATCATTGCAATAATTTCTTTTTTTTTTTTGAATTTTAAAATACAAACTTTATTGAATTTAAAAATATTGACAAGAAAAAAAAGAGAAAATATACAAATTTTCTCACTCATAAAATTGCAATAACTTCTAAAGGATATGGTATAAGAAATTATTTTTCTGGTTGTGGATGCTGCCCCCCCCCCCCCCCCCATTGAAATCGGATTGGCTTCATGCACATATATTGTATATATTTCTCCTTTAAACACAGGTTGATAGAGATGGAAGCAGGGACCCGCAGCTCCTCGTAGCTGGAGAGGGAAGGATTATCCCTCTTCCTGACTCTGACGCAGCAGATATTCCAAATGTAGCCACGCTGTTGCACAATTCTGAAAATAAAGCCCAGAGCAAGGACAGCGTATCCCAACCTCCTGTTGCAATAAGCCGTGACGTTTCTTCAGAGATCCAGGAGGACATAGTCCAGCAAGGGAAAGGTATAAAATCACTTGCACAGTTTTATTTTTAGATACCTATGGCTGTAAAGGGAAGGACTTCCAGTTCCTTGAAGAACACTGACATCAGCAGCAGGCTCTAAGCTTTTATTAGGAAAGTAGGTGGACTTTCACTCCAATCAGCAGAGAAGTTCTTAACAATGTTTGCTCCTCCTCCTCGTCCTCCTTAACTTGTCGCCTTTTAATTCAGGTAGTCTTCGACTTACGACAGTTTCATTTAGTGACCGTTCAAAGTGATAACGGCACCGAAGAAAGAGACTCATGGCTGTTTTTCACACTTACGACCATTGCAGCGTCCCCATGGACACGTGATCAAAATTCAGCCACTTAACAACTGGTTCATATTTATGACCGTTGCTTCTGCCCCAAGGTTATGTGATTCCCCCTTTTGCGATCTTCTGATCAGCAAAGTCAATGAGGAAGCCAGATTCATCCAACAACCATGTCACTGATTGAACCAAATGCAGTGATTCACTTAACAACGGTGGCAAGAAAAGTCGTAAAATGGGGCAAACTCACTTGACAAATGTTTCACCTAGCAACAATTGGGGTCGTAATTCGAGGACTACTTGTAATTATCTATAGGTAACTCAACCTGAACTCATGTTTTACTGTTAAGAGTGTTCATAACATGGTCAATTGACTACTCAATAATACTATAGAAATATGAATTATTGGAGCAGACATGTAGGAAAATCCATACTATAGAATACTTTCTCTTATTTGTTGCCTATTGAAGTCATAAGAAACTCAAACAATGAACAACCTTTCGGTATTGTATTAGGTTTATTGCCTTGAATAAGGAGTCTTGATCTATCTACTTAGCGTATAAGCTCTCCTCTAGGGCAGTTCTCATTATTCTTCCCCAAACCTTGATATTTGCTAATAATTGGTTATGTAGGTGTGCCACCCTTCCTCTAAATTTGTTCAGCCAAATTATTTAATTCGTTTTAGTCTATTTTAAATTTTGTATTTATATGTTTTATTCTATGGTCTGTTCACCGCCCTGAGTCTATCGGGAGTAGGGCGGTATACAAATTCAATAAAATAAATAAAAAATAAATAAATAAGGAGCAAAAGCCAGGATATAAAGTTTCATTTCGTCCTTTCTTTTATTTTTATTTTAGTTCTTTTTTTTTTAGCTTGCCTTTATTATTTTTATAAATAATTTCAAGGTGGTGAACGTATCTAATGCTTCTTCCTCCTGCTATTTTCCCCACAACCACAATCCTGTGAGGTGAAATGAGCTGAAAAAAAGGGACTGCCCCAAAGTCACCCAGCTGGCTTTCATGCCTAAGAAGAGACTAGAACTCATCGTCTCCTGGGGATTGGCCCAAAGTCACCCACCCACCCAACCGGCTTTCGTGCCTAAGGCGTGACTAGAATTCACAGTCTTCTGGGGATTGGCCGAAAGTCGCCCAATTGGCTTTCGTGCCTAAAGCAGGACTAGAACTCCCAGTCTCCTGATTTTCAGTCCGATGCCTTAGACCAAGGGTGTCAAACTCAATTTCATTGAGGGCTGTATCAGGGTTGTGTTTGACCTTGGGGGGCTGGAATGGGCGTGGCCGGGGTGGGCATGGTCAGCTCAACGTCACTTGTGTCGGGGGCGCCTCTGGTGACCCGAGCGCTCTGCCAGCGAAAACAGGCTCCCAAGCTCCGTTTTCAGCTGCGACAGCCTCCTGCAACCCTCTGCCAGTGAAAACAGAGCTCAGGAGCCCTCCCGAGCTCCGTTTTCGCTGTCAGAGGCACCACGGGCCAATCCTTCACTGTTTTCAGGGCGGTCCCGCTGGCCAGATCAAACCTTGAGTTTGACAACCCTGCTTTAGACAGAACTAGCTCTCTTCCTCTCCTCTTGCAATTGTTCTATGATGTAGATAAGACTGAGAATCTTTCTTCATCACAGTAGTACAGATATATCCATAGAGATCTTTTCTCTGGCATGTTCCCACAATACTGCTTATAATTCATCCCTTGCCCACAAGACTTGGGACAGACTCACGTTTCTTTAACTGTTCAGGCTTATAGTATTTTTCTTCTTCCTTCTTCCAAGGCAGCCTCAAATTTTATAAAATATCTTTAATTTGTCACCAATTCACTTGCAAGGAAGTACTAGCTCTAGAACCACGATGGCAAACCTATGGCACACGAGCTACAGGCGGTATGCGTAGCCATATCGGTGGGCACACGAGCTCAGCAAATGGGCCATTTTCGGCCTCCGGGGGGGTGGGGAAGGCCGTTTTTGCCCTCCCCAGACTCCTAGAAAGGCTCTGGAGCCTGGGGAAAGAGAAAAACGGGCCTACCGGGCCATCATGTGCCAGGAGCAGAGGGGGGGGTCACATGTGGGGGTGGGGCGCATAGAAGTATGAGTATGGGCACCTGCATGCGTGCCCCCCCTCCTACCCCCCCACCCCTGGCACGTGATGGCAAAAAGGTTAGCCATCTCTGCCCTGGAACAATGTTTCTCAACCTTAGCAATTTTTAGATGTCCGGACTTCAACTCCCAGCTGAGTTAGGAATTCCGGGAGTTGAAGTCTACACATTTTAACCTTATCAAAGTTGAGAAACACTGCCTTGGAGTAACTTGGGACAGGCAGGAAAGACAAGATAAGGTTCAGTAATGAGACAGCATTTTTCTTGCCAGAATAGTGTCTTGCCAATTCAAGGATTGGTGGACAGCACAGGTCAACGGTGGTGGTGATGGGGATTAGATGCTTTTATGTCAAAATCAGATGCTAAATAGAAATATGAATTTGGATCTCTCCAGTTCCAACTCTGGTATTCAGATCTGTGCAGAATCAAGAGGTTGTTTAGCTTGGTGCTAAACAGGCCAAAGGTGTAAGCAGGTAAGTATTAAAAATGAATGAAGTCACTTTATGAGTTTTGTTCTACCTCAGTAAAGTATAGACAAATAAAGGAGAAAATGGATGCAGAATTATTTTAACTACAACAGGTTTAAAGAGAAGGCATGCTGCAGAAATAGTTGATTTGGAAAATGAATGAAAAAATACTGAAGACATAAAATTGTAGAGAGATTTTCAGTGATTACTTACTGCGTCGGCAGATGTCAGTGTTTTTTACCACACTCGTACCTGAATTGTTATTTTGAAGTACTTTTAAAGGGCTCCGACATGCATAAGTAACACATGTAAGTAATTCAGTTTTACAAGCAAATAATCTAGCATCACTTAGAACATTTAACAAAGGGTTGTTAAGGAATGCAGCTGTGAAACAGTTTACCTTTCAGATAAAACACACAACATCACTAAATCCAGGACCATCTGTGGGGGATTCAGAAAGTCAAGATGGTGCTTGTCTTAATAAGATGAAAATCCGTCTAAAACTTAATCCATCTGCCTTTGACTTGTCATAACAATTTATATAGCCATCCATCTTGCAATTTTGAGTAATGCGACCTGCTCACAAATACGCAATGTAAGAAGGCAAGGATTATATTTATGGAATTATTTACTTAGGATAAATCTGTGTAGGCCAACTTTGTGGATAAAGGATTGTCACAGTTCTCCCAAGGCTTCTTAAACAATAGAAGCAAATGAAAATAAGCACCAATAAAAACCTGTGACAATCAAAGGAACATTTCCTTATTAGCAAATATTGCAATGCCGTATCAACAATTTCATGAAAATCCAGTCAAAATGAACGTCTAATTGACCAAGCCTAAGCCTATTTCATACTAGTGGTTTGGGTTTGTTTTTTTTTTAAAGTACATTTTATTGAAACATTTAACATTCTTAAAAGGTAATACAAACTGAAATAAAGAGAGAAGAAAGTAGAAAAGAATTACAAAGTTTGAAAAGAAAAGGAAAGAAAAAGATACAGGAAGAAAAATATTTACTAAATGAATCCCAATCTTCCATGCAAGAATTGCAAGCAAATGTAATACAGGAAATCCTTGACTTACGACCAGTCGCTTAGCAAGTGGTCAAAGTTACATTGGGTCCCTCAAAAGGTGTTTTAAGACCCGCTTCAGACGTTCTGATGGTCACGTGACCACATTTCAAGCACTCAGCGACCAGCCTGCATTTACAGCCATTTGCTGTGTCCTCGGGTCACGTGACCATGATCTTACGATTTTTGTCTAAAAAGAGCGTGTTTTTGCCAGTTTTTCCCCAAAATGCTTCATAATGAACAATGGGTTTTCTTAACAACTGTGGATTCATTTATTGACCATGGTGATTTGCTTAATGACTGCTGCAAAATAGGTTGTAAAATCAGGTATGTGATACTTCAGTCATCACAACTTACAACCACAATGGGCTGGCTTTATTATAGTCATAAGTCAAGGACACCCTGTATTTCCCCACCCCATATTAATTGTGTTGATAAACATCCCTTCTTGTGCAATCCCTGACAAGTTCATTAGACATAGTACAAAAGATGCTTTTATTGGTTTAATCTCACTTTAGGAGCATTAGAAGATATAATTCATATTTTTTCAAATTGATTTGCTATTGATTTGCTGGGAAGCATATTATTCGCTCAAAAACAGACATGTAAACAGCGCTTCCTCCTGAAACGTGTAAAATTCTGTCAGAGGCAGTCCTTTAATATGCCCGACCTAGACTTTTTAAGCTTTTAAGCTTATCCCAGTACTCAGAAGAGCTCCAGCAATCAAAAAAAGATGTTGAAACTCTAGAAAGAGTGCAGAGAAGAGCAACAAAGATGATTAGGGGACTGGAGGCTAAAATATACGAATAACGATTGCAAGAACTGGATATGTCTATTTTGATGAAAAGAAGGACTAGAGACATGATAGCAGTGTTCCAATATCTCACGGGCTGCCACAAAGAAGAGGGAGTCAAGCTATTCTCCAAAGCACCTGAGGGCAGGACAAGAAGCAATGGGTGGAAACTAATCAAGGAGAGAAGCAACCTAGAACTAAAAGAGAAGTTTCCTGACAGTTAGAACAATTAATCAGTGGAACAACTTGCCTCCAGAAGTTGTGAATGCTCCAACACTGGAAGTTTTTAAGAAGATGTTGGATAACCGTTTGTCTGAAGTGGTGTAGGGTTTCCTCTCCTGCCTAAGCAGGGGGTTGGGCTAGAAGATCTCCAAGGTCCCTTCCAACTCTGTTATTCTATTCTAACTAGGCTGGTCGCTGTAGTGCATTACACTGATTGCCTACACCTAAGTCAGAAAAAGATCTGTAAAATTTGATGCTGCTCCAAGATTTCTGCAACCTAGATAAACCGAAAATGGCCAGTGGTGCATTTGAATTACCTTTTTTGCCATCTTAAATTGCAAAAACATGAAATAAGGGTTCAGGGGGGAAAATCCATCTGGTCCAGCAGTTTGTCACAAGTCAAAAAGCAAAAGCTAATATTGCAGTCTGATGGATGATAATAGCTGGAATTTAAGGTGATTTTTTTCTCCAAGAAATCTGTCTAGCCTTCTTTAAAAACCATCTAGTCTTCTTTCAAAACTGTCTAAAAGGATAACGCTAATCACATCTCATGACTGGGCTATATAGAATATCTCAACCCATCTAACATGGTGTTTTCAGATGGCATGGGACTGCACTTGTGGAATCACCATTTGGTCAGGGTACGGTGAATCTGGGAGGGCAGTCCCAAAATACCTGGGGAAGATAGCAGGTGGGGACCAGCTGCAAGGGTTGAGGGTAGGTGGCACTATTTTGTACTGGTTCTTCCTTCATGGCCAGTTCCAGTTGGTGTTGATCAGGAGTCTCTCTCTCTCTCTCTCGGCCCCTACATTGTGGGGGCCACATAATTGAGTACTTTCTGCTGGTTGAGGCATGACTGACTGAGGAATTTGGGGCATTGAAGTCCACAGGTCAAAGTTGGGTCCCTGCTCTAGAACATCATTTTTCCTAAAGTCAGGTTAGCTCCAAACCGATTGGCCTTTCGGAAGAGTCTGAAGACGTGACCTTGTCATTTGCCTGGGTCTTGAGGCCACCTGGATCTGAGAATTTACATTTTTAGTTTGCTAACATGGATATGGAACCTGCAAAGTAGCAGTATTGCTAGAAATATTGAATATGGTTTCCCACATATTGGGGTTTTTTTCATTTTTTTTTCATTTATTATTGATCTTTATTACTTTATTCTATTGTCTTGTGTTTTTAACTGTATACATAGCTCAGAGTCATAGTGAGATAGGCAGCTATGCAAATTTACCAAATACGTAAATAAATGTTCCCATCTGGGTGTGACAAGCATTAGTGTTTTACTTTAAGGAGAGGTGGCTTTTGATGATTTATTTAACCTAGCCAGCAACTTTCTTTCAGGAAGCATTCAGCAACACTGCAATCTGTGTCTGTTCACCACATTCAGTCTGTCTGGCCTTAAACGCCACATGAAGAAACATTCCCACGAAAAGCCACATCAGTGTCACATCTGTCTTAAAGCTTTCCGTACGCTTTCTCTGTTGCGCAACCACATGAACACCCATACAGGTATGTCTGCCTTCCAGGTAAATTGAACCCCTCACTGGAACATATCTTTAGAGTTCAACTGTTTTTATGATTAATCTTAGGAATATCAATCTCACGTAAAATAGTTCATCTCTTAGATTTCTGTTTGGGAATAGTTTGCAAGGGCTGGTTTTTTAAAATCAATGGATGAGTATATAGAAAACTATAATTTTTGCCTGCTTTGATTTTGTTGTTAGTTGCGAAGTTGTGTCCATCCTATTGCTACCCCATGGACAACGTTCCTCCAGGCCTTCCTGCCCTCTATCATCCTCTAGAGTCCATTTAAGCTCATGCCTACTGCTTCAGTGACTTCACCCAGCCACCTCATTCTCTGTCGTCCCATTCTTCTTTTGCCCTTAATCTTTCCCAGCATTAGGCTGTTCTCCAGTGAGTCCTTCCTTCTCATTAGGTGGCCAAAGTATTTGAATTTCATCTTCAGGATCTGGCCTTCTAAAGAGCAGTCAGGGTTGATCTCCTCTAGGACTGACCGGTTTGATCTCCTTGCAGTCTCTGCTTTGATTAGCCAAGCCCAAAATTATGGTCTCTAAAGAACTAGTACATCCAGACAAAGTTCTTTACCAACTTTCTTAGTACAGGGTTTGCGACTTTGAGATAGGCCAAGGATTCTCATTAGGCACAGTCAGCAGGATAGTTTCATTTAAAAATTATTTATGTACATGCCCATGTATTCTTATTCCCTTTCAGGGTAAATAGCATAACGCAAAGTGCAGAAAACGAAAAAGAGTTAAGAAGTGATAAGCAAAAAAATAAAAAAAAAATTAAGAGGAAGGATAAAAAAGGAAAGGAAATACACCTAAATCTATTTCATATCAACAACATTAAATATTCCTCACCGTATTTTTATTTTTATTTTTTTATTATTATTATTATTTTTGATATTTGCAGGCTAGCATTCCTTTCTAGTCCTCGATTTACAAAAGTTCATTTAGTGACAGTTCGAAGTTACAACTTTTTATTTTTCACACTTAGGACATTCGGGCATCCTCATGGTCACATGATCAAAATTCAGATGCTTGGCAACTGTCTCATATTTATGACAGTTGTAATGTTCACCTGCTGACAAGCAAAGTCCACAGGAAAGCCAGATTCACTCAACAGCTGTGTTATTAACAACTGCTGTGATTCTGTGACAATGAGGTTGTAAAATGAGGCAAAATTCACTTAAGTGTCTTGCTTAGCAACAAAAATTTGGGGCTCAATTGTGGTTGTAAGTCAAGGACTACCTGGAGAAGCCCTTTAAATGTGCCATCTGTGGTTACTGCCAGTGTGGAGGCAAGAAGGATTATTTTCTGAAGAATCATTTTGCAAAGGCCTCCCTTGACTGAGTAGAGAAAGATGAGGTTACCTTTGAAAGGGGCACTGCCATTCATGGTATGTGCATTTTTAGTTAGAAGAATAGTTGGTAGGGAATTTAGAAGTAAAAATAAGTAAAATTCTCCCTAGCATAGCTGGCTGGGGAATTCTGGGAGTTGCAGTCCATACATCTTAAAAGTTGCCAAGGTTGAGAAACACTGATATAACACATCTGTCTGTTAAATTGAAATTTTACTCTACCTTGAGCTTTGAAATGTGAATTTTTGATCTATATTCTTGTCCATGAATCCATTGCAATTCATTCAGCTTCCAAGCCAATAACATGACACAATTTGTATATTAAAATGCATGTTCACACCCCCAAACACCCCCACCACAAGAATTCTTACCTTCGTAAACTCCAGGAGTCAGTGAGAGAGAGTTGGGCGGCCCTGTAAATTTTCTTAAATAAATGCTGTATGCATTTACCCTTAAGTACAATAAACAACGAAGGATTTATCACACATCTTTAGTCCTTGCTCAGTTTACTTAGCATTCCATTCTTTGTTATATATCCTTTATTTTCATCACTTCAGTTGCAACCAACTTGCAACTCTCAAAACATTCTATAATTCAAGCTTATTTATGACATAATGTGCTTTCTCTAAATCAACAGGCAGACCATAACCTTTTCTCCTCATATTCATAAATTTCTCAGTTATCTGTTGAAGAGCAAAAATCCAGTTTGCATAACCTGTCTGGCATAAAGCCATAGTGTTATTTCAGATTTTATTTACATTTATTTATCAAATTTCTACACTTTTATTTATTTGCCTTTATTATTTATCAAATTTCTACGCTGTTATTTTCCTTTGTTTATTATTTATTTACCAAATTTCTACACCGTTTTGTTCATTCTACCCTTTCATTCCCTTTTGAATCAAATTCTATCAGATTCCTTCCCAGACATACTTAATAGACTAATTCCTTGTAGTTTTTCATTCAGTCTAGCTGTTTTTCACTTTGTGTTCTTTCAGTTGCCAAGCACAAACGCGTCCTCACACTTCAAAACAAGTCACATTCAAAAAGTAAATCACATCCATACATTAACGTTTCCCAAGTTAATTTATTCTACTCTGTTTCCTCGAAAATAAGACCCAACCGGAAAATAATCCCTAGCATGATTTTTCAGGATGCTCGTAATGTAAGCCCTACCCCAAAAATAAACCCCAGTTAAGATCATCAGTAGACGGAGGCATTTAGTATTGTATTTCCCCCAAAATAAGACCTAACTGGAAAATAAGCCATAATGCATCTTTTGGAGCAAAAATTAATATAAGACCCGGTCTTATTTTGGGGAAAACATGGTATTTATTACATTTTTATCCCACCTTTATTATTTTTAAAAATAACTCAAGGCAGCAAACACATTTAATCTTTTTTCCTCCTACTTTCCCCACTATAACAAAATCAGGACTATGTATCTCCTGCACACCTGATGCTGCTTTACCTCATCTCTGCCACCTGTTATTTTAACTTTCTTTTTTTAAAAAAAATGCTAATCCTATGCACTAAAATTAACAGTATTTCTAAGTTGCTTTGAAGTGTTTGATGAGCCATTTTCCACCTTATTGGATTCTGTGCCTAGGTAGATGTAAAACTAACAGCCGGCTATCGCAACAAATTTCTCAGTATTCCAGGTAGAGTTGGATTTAAATGTTTTTCCACTGAATACATTTTGAAACTCTGCTTCCCTTTTGCAGGGACAAAGCCACACAAGTGTAATGAATGTGATATGGCCTTTGTGACAGTGGGGGAACTTTCCCGCCACAAGCGATATAAACATACTCTGGAGAAGCCCTTTAAATGCTCCATCTGTAACTACTGCAGCGTAGAGGTAAGACGGATTGTTCTCTGCAGAATCATTTTGCAAAGTCCTCCCTTGACTGGGTAGAGAAAGATGAGGTTTCCTTTGAAAGAGGCACTGCCATCCCTTAGTTAGAAGCATAGTTGGTAGAGAATGTAAAAGTAAAAGTAAGAAAAATTCTCCCTCCCCCCACCCCCCATTGCAATTGCACATTGCAATTAGAAGGGATGGGTGGATGGGACCTTAGGCTGGCATGACCTTAGGCTGCAGTGTGGTTGAGATCCAACCTAGAACTAAGAAACTTAGTTCTAGGTTGGATCTCAGGTGTAGGGTTTCCTGCCTAAGCAGGAGGTTGGACTAAGCAGGAGGTTGGACTAGAAAACCTCCAAGGTCCCTTCCAACTCTGTTATTCTAAATCTATCTGTATGCAACTTCCTGACACTGAGAACAACTAATCAGTGAAATGCCTTTCTTGCCGAAGTTGTTGGTGCTCCATCGCTGGAGGTTTTCAAGAAGAGGTTGGACAGCCATTTGTCTCGAATGGTGTAGGTCAGGGGTGTCAAACTCACATCGTCGCGGCAGCATCACATGATGTATCAGGATTTTTTTACCCTTCGCTAAACTGGGTGTGGGCATTGCCAGCACATGACACATCCAGCCTTTGAGCCAGGAATTTGACAGCCCTGGTGTAGGTTCTCCTGCTTAAATGAGATTGGGCTAGAAGACCTTCAAGATCCTTTCCAACCATATTTTTCTATGTGTTGTGGCCCGTCAGCGACCTGTGCAGCTAGTAGCTGATTCCAACAGCGAGGAGGCTGGTGTGGTGCTGCGCCAGTAGCCTGTGCAGCTGGCACTCGAGTCGGACAATGAGGAGGCTGGAGAAGATGTGGTGCCAGAGGCGGGGATTCAGCCACAGCCTTCAGAACCTCCAGAAGCTCCCATAAGTGAAGAGGAAGAAGAGGAGGAGCCTCTTCTCGATGCACGAGTGTGCAGAACTGCCAAAAGGCAGGAGTGGCTCCTCAGGAGGAGGTCTCCTCGAGAGTAAGGCTTGGGGCTAATTGGCCACTCCCTTAGCCTGTTTAAGGAAGGACGACGACTGAAGCAATTTGCAGGGAACAACTTCGTTCACTCTCCTTCGTGTCTGGATCTTAGTTCTCTGCAAATTGCTTCTGGGCTTTCTGCCAACCATAGTAAGATTACGATTATTTATTCTTTGGATTCTTGTAGTTAATTAACAGCCTTTGTTTGAAAAAGACTGATTTAATTTAAACTAAGGTTTTTACAGACTTTGTGTGTGCTGCGTTCTTTGGGGTCCGTAGCTGGGGTAGAACACTATGTTCTAAGTTCCTTAACCAACTTGGGTTTAAGATCCCCATCCCTTGGGCCAAAGCCTAATTTGGACTGGGCCATGCAAGTAGCGGGCAAGCACGCAGCTCCACTTGCGTGATCGGTGGGTTCGTCTGCCCCTCACAAATCAAGCTGCACGTGTGTGCTTGTCCACCGTTCTCACAGAACCATTCCTTCTCCCACCACCACTACCACCGCCGGTCCCCAAGCTGGGGACTGGGACTGTTGTGGAGGGCTGAACCAAATGGGGCTGTGAAGGTGTATAGGCATGTACACATATACATAAATTTGGGGGGGGGAGCAGTCACCTTTAAAATAAAAGCAATGCAATTGTATTGTGTGCATGGCATACACTTATTTTTATTTGATTTCTAATTTCTGATTGATCTTACACTGTCTGGACAGACAAAGGGCCGGATGTGACCTGGGGGCTGTAAAATAGCCAGATCTGATCCAGCCTCTGCTTGAAGACCCTAAGCAAAGGAGAACTAGCAATCTGTTGTAAGTGGAATGGGACAATGCCACAGCCAACTCGCCATGGCCAGTTCGCCATGGGACAACTCGCTGTGGGACAATTTAACAATTCTATTTAATTATTTAAAATAAATTAAAAAATATTTTAATTTTTGCCATTCACATTTCATTCTGTCCCTCCTTTTACATCCTTTTTAAAAATGATTCTATTCCACCATTTCTATGAATATTAGTGTAATTCTTGTCCCGCAGTGAGTTGTCCTATTTTGAGTTGGCTGTGGTGAGTTGGCCACAGTAGTTGGCCATGGCTATTGCATAAACCCACTATGAGACCCTTTTCCACTGGCTGACACGTTGCTTAATCAGAAAGTTTCTCCTGCTATCTAACCTGACTATCTTTCCTTCTGGGAAATGGTACTAAGATACGCTTCAAAGGCTCTTCTCAAAGTCTTTCAGTCACCTGAAATATGGAGGCAGTGGTAAAATGTAAAATTTATTACTACCAGTTCTGGGGGGTGGGGGGGAGGTAATGTGACTGCGTGGGCGTGGCTGGACTGGGTGGTTGAAGAGGTTGTAGAAAAAAATGCTTTTAAAAGCCTCTGACAATCAGGCAACTCAGCTGGGATCATCAGAGGCTTTTAAAAGCATTTTTTTCAGACTTCCAGTTGGCTCCGCGAGCTTTGCTGACGCTCCTTTGTGGGCGCCCGATCCTCGGCACCGTAAAAGCCCCAGAACAGCCGAAAAACAGCTGTCTGGGGCTTGGAAACCCTCTCCCCGGGCAAAGGGGAGAGAGAAGAGCAGACAGGCGGTGGTAGAGCTGAGCTGTGCGATCATCAGAAGCTTTTTTTTTTTACTTTTAAAAGCATTTTTTCAGCCGAAGAGGTTGTAGAAAAAATGCTTTTAAAAGTTAAAAAAAAAAAGCCTCTGATGATCATGCTGCTCAGCTGGGCATGGGGGGGGGGTACAGGGTTTTTTGAGGGTGGTTCGGAGAACCACCCGCCACCATCACTACCAGGTCGGGTGATCCAGTCCAAACCGGGAGCATTTCACCCCTGAGGGTGACCTCAAACAGGAATTGTCTTCGGCCATCTTGGTTTTCATTCAGTGTTAGGTTAAACCCTGTATTTGCATGAAGATTGCTATTACATCTTCTCTTACAGGTATCCTTCATTTAGAAACTGCCTTGTTTAGTAATCATTTACAGTTGGGACAATGATGAAAAAGTAACTTTACTACCAATCCTTCCATTTATGATCTTTGCAAGTCTGCAAAGCAAAAGAAAGATGAAGTAAAATCACAAGAACAGTTCCTGTTCACTTACTTAGTGAGTTCTTTCGTTTAATAACCAAGTTCTGGTTTGTAAACAGCTACTTATAATTGTCTTTTCTATAGGCTAAATATATTCAGAACTTTAACTGTTCCCTGTTAAGGGACTCTTCACCTTTATCCCTTTCAAACTTGCTAAACATTTGTCCTTTTCTTAAACAGCAGTGCTAATTCTTTATAAGGAATATGCCTTACATGGAAGGAAAAAAAGCCTCTGTGAGATACTTTTTAAAGCAAGGACAACAAAATCCCAGCAAATTACATTCTAGAAGTATTAAGCAAATACGGGGTTTAATCTAATACTGAATGAAAACCAAGATGGCCGCCCGGAATCCCTGTTTGAGGTCATCCTCCATATTTCAGACAGCAGGGAGATTTGGGAAGAGCCTCTGAGGCTTGTCTTAATACCTGCATTTCATTCCTGCTTCTGGTAAATAGATTTTGTATCATGTTCAGAAATCTGTTTGCCTTGCCGGATGAAAGAAAGACAAGAAGCTTAAACCCCTTTCAACTCTTGTGAAAACAGTGGTTTGTTTCTAATCAGCGTTAAAATATTCTTGTGAATGTTCCGTGGATGAAGCAGGAGCCCTTAGCATTGATTTTTTTTTTTAGAAACTAATGAGAAGTCAGCCAAGGGAGAGCAGATTGCAGAGTTCTTTAAACAATATTTTCTTTCTTTTTTTCATTTTTGGAAACAACATATAAACTTGGTGAAGCAATATTAAATAAAAGGGGAGTAATATAAAAGGATGTGAGGATCTGTGTATATCCGTTGTCTATCATGCTGCATATACTCACAAAATCACCAGTTGCTCAGGTTTGCTATGCAATTTGCATAATTGGCCATAGTTTATAGGGTTTTTATGCACAGTCAAACCACTGCATGCTTTTCTTTCTTTATAACTGTCTGTAATACGCCATTTACACACAACTTGCTCTAGCGTGCATCATTTTGTATGCAACTTTCACAAACCAGAAATAGTTTGGGCTGCAACTTTCTTGAACAGATTTTTTTTTTGTATGTAACTTTTAGCCAAGAAAGATGTCTGCAGCCTCCATGTTATTGCTGTTCAATACAAGGAGTCCTTGCCTTAAAACAGTTCGTTTAGTGACCATTCAAAGTTACAACAGTTTTGAAAAAAGTGACTTATGGCCATTTTTCACACTTAACGACCGTTGTAGCATCTCCATAGCCACGTGATTTACATTCACTTAACAACCGGGTTACTAATTTAACAACTGCAGTGATTCACTTAACAAATGTGGCAAGGAAAGTCATAAAATGGGGCAAAACTCACTTAACACATTTCTCACTTAACATATTTTTCTGAGTATAAGACGCACCAGAGTATAAGTTGCACCTTAGTTTTTGGGGAGGAAAATAAGAAAAAAGCTGATTGGTGGATGAATTGGCCTCCTGGAATACCCCCAGTCAGCTGTTCCCAGAGGTGAATTTTAGCAACAGGTTCCTTGGTTGTGAGCTCTGTGCCTTGATTTTTTTTTTGGGGGGGTCTGCTTCGGAAATTTCTGAAACTCTGTTTCAGAAAAAACTTCTTTTTCTGCCTCTGAAAGCCTCCGAAACAGAGCTTCAGAAAAAAAGACTCTGAAGCTCTGTTTCTGAGGCTTTTTTTTCTGAAGCTCTGTTTGGAGGCTTTTTTCCTGAAGCTTCGTTTCTGAGGCTTTTTTCAGCCTCTGAAACCTCCGTTTGAGAAGCTGGGCAGGGCTACATTCAGAGTATAAAACGCACCCAGATTTTCATCCTCTTTTTTGGGGGTAAAAGGTGCATCTTATACTCCGAAAAATATGGTAACTTAAATTTTGGGCTCATTTGTGGTCATAAGTCGAGGACTACCTGTATAAGGACATTTTTTTCTATAAAGAAATCTGCAGCACCTTAGACTATTCTTAATTACAATTGATTCCAAGACTATAAACAAACATAAAGGGAACCACCAAAAAAAATCTAATACAGAATTAGGAAATCAGGTTTGTATTTTATTCTATTCTTTTAATCTGAGACTTTCTACTACAGATAGTCTTCAACGTACAACACAATTGGGACCACAAAAATCTGTTGCTAATCAAGGTGCTTGTTCAAGTGGCCACGCTCAGTTTTATGACATTTTTAGCCTGTTGTTAAGCAGACACTGCAGTTGTTAAGTGAATAAAAGTAAAGGTTCCCCTCGTACATATGTGCGATTCGTTCCCGACTCTAGGGGACAGTGCTCATCTCTGTTTCAAAGTCGAAGAGCCAGCGCTATCCGAACACGTCTCCGTGGTCATATGGCCGTCATGACTAAATGCCAAAGGCACACGGAATGCTATTACCTTCCCACCAAAGGTGGTCCCTATTTTTCTACTTGCATTTTTTACGTGCTTTCGAACTGCTAGGTTGGCAGAAGCTGGGACAAGTAACGGGAGCTCACCCCGTTACGCGGCACTAGTGATTCGAACCACTGAACTGCCAACCTTTCGATTGACAAGCTCAGCGTCTTAGCCACCGAGCCACCACGTCCCTGTTAAGTGAACTAGACAGTCATTAAGCAAACCTGGCTTTCCTCATAGACCTTTGCTTGTCAGAAGCTGGATGGGAAGACTGCAAATAGCAGTTGCGTGATGATTGAATGCTACAACTGTTGCAAATACATGCTGGTTTGCCAAGAGCCTCAAGGTTGATCACGTAACTATAGAGACAATCATGTATGAGTATTGGTCAGACGGCAATTTTTGCAGTGCTGTTGAAGATGGTTGCTAAATGAATGGTTGTAAGTCAAGGACCAACTATTGTCTTGTAAAAAAAAACAATTTTGCATAATTGGACCTTTAATATTTTTCCTCTTACGGTTAGGATTCATTCTAATAGAACCACCATTAAGGCAGAGAAACAGGAGACCTAGTTTGGAAGGCAGTATTTTAGAATAGAAGTCTCCAAACTTGGCAACTTTTGAGACTTGCGGACTTCATCTCCTAGAATCCTGGGAGTTGAAGTCCACAAGTCTTTAAAAATTGCCAAGTTTGGAGACCGTTGCTTTAGAACAGGGGTGTCAAACTCGATTTCATTGAAGGTCGCATCAGAAAAGCGGTGAAATCCAGTCGGTTCTATCCAGCTTGCGCAAACCAGTAGCACTGGCGGCAGGAGGCTCCATCCACCCACCGGGACATCATTACATCCTGTTTTTGACCTTCACCACATGCGCAAGAGAGGCACGCATGCTCTCCCATTCCCAAACTGGTAGCAAAGGTAAGTGGATTTCACCGCTGCATCAGAGTTGTTTTTGATCTTGGGGGGTCGGGTGGACATGGCCAGGGTAGGCGTGGCCAGCTCCACGTCACTCATCGAGGCTCCGTTTTCAGCCACGATGGCCTCCTGCAGCCCTCTGCCAGCGAAAACAGAGCCCAGGGAGGCTGCGTGCAGCCCGCTCGGCTCCCTTTTTACTGGCAGAGGCACTGCGGGGTGGTCCTTTGCTGTTGTAGGGGAGGCCCGCAGGCAAGATCAAAGCACCCCAAGAGCCGGATTCGGCCCTTGGGCCTTGAGTTTGACACTCCTGCTTTAGAAGATGCAACAGCAAATTCTAGTGACAAGCACTTAACAGCATTTCTAAAAAGTCAGCTTCTTTTTTAATGGTGAATTGTTTCAGCAGCACCCTCTCTGCTCTTGTAATTCAGAATCTTCTTTTGTAAATTGTAGGCCAGCAAACTGAAACGCCACATTCGCTCACATACAGGAGAGCGTCCTTACAGTTGTACGGTGTGCTCCTATGCTAGTAGGGACACTTACAAATTGAAAAGACATATGGTAACTCACTCAGGTACGTATTAAAACTATAATGGCTGCCATTAAAGCAGAGTAATGCTAATGCATGGTCCTATGGGGCTAGGAGATGCTGAGCCACTAAAGGAAGAAAGACAGGCACGTGAGCAAAAAAGCAAGGAGGAACAGTCGGAAGCAGATGGTACTCCAGAATAGCAAAGTCGGGTATTGTGGATTTGGAGACAAAACAAGAGAAAATTATTTGGATACTAATCCAAAAGACTAGCAACCTGGAATTAAGGAGAAACTTCCAAACAGTGAGGACAATTAACCAGTGAAGCAGCTTGCCTTTAGAAATCATGGGTGCTCCATCGCTGGAGGTTTTTAGGAAGAGTAGACCAGTGATGGTGAATCTTTTTGACACAGAGTGCTGAAAAGGTTGTGCGGAAACGTCGCACACTCGTCAGGGCCATGCTCTGGAAAAGCCGAACTTCTGGGTTCTAGCGTGCATGTGTGCCCGATGATGCGCAGGCCGGTTTTCAGCACTGCTGCGTGCACAAAGGGATCACGCTCCGGAAAAGCCAAACTTCCAGGTTCTAGCGTGCATGCGTGTTTGGTGATCAGCTGGCTGGCACGCATGAACAGGCTGGTTTTCAGCACTGCCACGCGCACGAAGGGATCGCGCTCCAGAAAATCTGAACTTCCGGTTCTGGCGTGCATGTGCACCCGACAATCAGGTGGCCGGTGCACATGCGCACACTGGTTTTGGGCACTGCCACGCACGCGAAGGACAGCTGATCATCGCGCATACATATGTGCCAGAAACCCACAAGATAAACAGGCAAGGCTGCGTGTGCCGAGTGACTGGCTTCGTGTGCCACTGGGCACACATGCCGTGGGTTTGCCATCACGGGTCTAGACAGTCACTTGTGGAATGATGAGAGGCTGGGCAGCTACCTGTCCTAGACAGTTTGCTTGGTTTTCTTGCCCATTATAGGGAATTACATTAAATGTTCCCTGTGATTCCTTTCAGGTTTATAATTCTGTGATTCAGTGGTTGACAGAATAGGAAATCAGGCTAGGAGACTTGCTATGAAGAAACGAGGACATATGGCCTCTTGAAATGGCAAAGCAGGATAAAGACACTGTTTTTGAACAGGATTAAGGAATATATTTTTTGCATCCTGGCCAAAGCAAATAAAATCTCAGTGTAATTATGTGCCAGGAAAGATGAATGAAACTGATGTGCTCTCAGCAGTAAATCCATGAGTAAAAGATGGATGGATGGATGGATGGAGATAGGTCTGTATGGTCAACAGCTTCATCTCACAAACTCAAGGGCACTTTTGTACTGCCCAGTGATTGACTTTGCCATTACTGTATTTTTCGGACTATAAGACACACTTTTTTGTCTCCCAAAAGGGGGTGAAAATGTCAGTGCATCTTATAGACCGAATATTGCCGAAGCCCCGCTGACCTGCCAGCCGTTTTTTGGCCTCCACACGCTCCGTTTTCAGGCCTTTTTTCTGCCTTTTTCAGGCCTTTTTTAAGACCATTTTCGAGGCTTTTTTCGGCCCTTTTTCCCTCAAAAACTGGCCAAAAAAAGCCTAGAAATCTGGCCAAAAAAGCCTCAAAAACAGGCCAACAAAAGCCTCAAAAACGGACTGAAAAAAGACTGGAAAAGACCCCCAAAAAGGCCTGAAAAAGCGTGATGTAATGGGGAGGAATTGCAGTGTAAATCTGTTTAAAGCTCGATACAGTAATAAAAGTGTGGCCTTATAATGCCTTGTTAAGACCACACTTGGAATAATGTATCCAATTTTGGCCACCACGATTTAAAAAAGATGTTGAGAATCTAGAAAGAATGCAGAGAACAACAACAAAGGTAATTAGGGGACTGGAGGCTAAAACATATAGAATGGTAGCTGGAATTGGATATATCCAGTTTAATGAAAAGAAGGACTAGGGGACATATGATAGCAGTGTTCCTATAGCTCAGGGGCTGCCACAAAGAAGAGGGAGTCAACCTATTCTCCAAAGCACCTAAAGGCAGGAAAAGAAGCAATGAATGGAAACTAATTAAGGAGAGAAGAAACCTAGAACTAAGAATAAATTTCCTGATAATAACAATAATCAGTGGAACAACTTGCCTCCAGAAGTTGTGAATGCTCTAACATTGGAGGTTTTTAAGAAGAGATTGGACAATCATTTGTCTGAAATGGTATAGAATTTCTTGCTTGAACAGGAGGTTGGACTAGAAGACCTCCAAAGTCTCTTCCAACTCTGCTTTCCATTTCTGTTCTGTTCTATTCTATTCTATTCTATTCTATTCTAAATGGAGATCAGTGAAATGGTGGCAAGGAAGTGGGAGAACCAAGGAAGATCTCTAGGTGGTCAGATGGGCAAAAATTCCCATCAGTGAGAAAACATCTGTCCCATAGCTCAGGCATTCATGCTTGGAGCCTTTTTTCCTTCTACCGTAACAGAAGCTGAACTCTGCAGAAATCCTACAGAAGCCCCACAGTGTTTATAGGGGCATGGATGCAGCATCAGTTCAGGGTGTGGATGCAAAAAGTAGGATCTGGAAAATATGCTACCGTTTTCAGCTCCCTAATTCACCAGTTCTTACAAGTATGTGTTTCCTTCTAGGTGAAAAACCCTTTGAATGTGTGATTTGCAAAGCAAGATTCACACAGGCTGGGACTTTGAAGTTCCATGTTTTGCATAAACATGGGAAAAATGTACCAAAACACCAGTGTCCACACTGTGCCACATCCGTTGCCCGGAAAGGCGATTTAAGTAAGTTTCATAACTTTTTTTTCCCCAAAATCTTTCTGTAAAAGTACATAAAGAATGAAGGTCACTGTCAGTATCCAGCTTGACTTAATAAATCTATCCCCAAAGTATTGTGCTCTGGCTCATTAATTTCCAAAGCAAGCTCTTCTCTTTTTGCAGTAAATAAAACCTGATTTCTCCCTCAAAGATGTGATCGGTGAGCATTGTTTCTATGTCCGATATCAATCATTTGGGCTTAGCATCTTTCTGACATTTTCACACTCGTTCTTTTCCTGAGATTTTTAGGTTCTCAGTTCCTGTGTTTTAATTGGGAAAGTCACCAATGCCTTTTTATTTTTAATTTTCACTGATATATTTTTTTAGATGAATTTTTTTGCCCTGAATTCTTCTCATTATGTTCTCCAGTCCTTCTTGGCCCATTGCAGGTGTGCTCTAGTACACTTGCACATGGGTATAAGTACAATGCAAAAAGATGCCATTGTGCCAATAAATGAGAATATATGTAGCTCAGGGTTGATTCTATTGTATGTGTCGTTTGATTTAAGTTCTGAGCCTGAAGATTAATATACATTTTAAAACTGTACAGGGGAAAAGCAGGTGAGACCATCAAGAGAAGCCACCTATTAATTTTACAAATCCTTCAAATCAAACTGCAAGGCAGGCAAGATATATCTCTGAGAGAAAGCATTAGGAAAATGTAAGGTTTAAGTAGGATTTTAACCTGCATGAAATAGGAGAAGACAAGTGTGACTTTGAAAACTATTAGAGAGCAAAACACTCAGTACATCAATGCCATCTTTGATGGGTTTATTCCCAGGGTTTGAGGTGAATAAGGTACATCTCAGAATGTCTTCATTTTGTGATCAACCCCATTGATGTATGCGAAGCAATTAAAAAGCTGCACTTGAGAAGTCTTTATCCCAGTGATGGTTAGAAGAAACTGACAGAACATTTGCTTAGTTGACTTTCATTAATGCAGAAGTGGCTTCAAGAAGAAGTCTCTGTGCGTGTGAAAGATGAGTACTCAATAGGCCAGGGACATCCACAGTAGAGGCAAAAAAATAAAACCAAGACGGCACTGCAATTGTGCAATCGAAAACCTGCCCTCTTTTTATAGTTGTCAACATATATGTAAAAATGGGCATAGCCTGAGTCTTTTTTTTTTTTTTTTTTTAATTTGATTTATATGCCGCCCTTCTCCGGAGACTCAGGGCGGCTTACAATGCGCTAAGCAATAGCCTTCATCCTTTTGTATATTTATTCAAAGTCAGCTTATTGCCCCCACAATCTGGGTCCTCATTTTACCTACCTTTGAAAGGATGGAAGGCTGAGTCAACCTTGAGCCTGGTGAGATTTGAACTTGCAGTAATTGCAGGCAGCTGGTCTTAATAACAGGGTGCCTTAGACCACTGTACTACCAAGGCTCTTCTGTTTTCGGCCACTGTTGTGACATCGTTTTAATACTCCTTGCCATAGGCCCAGATTTTTAGAACACAAATTGATTGATTGCAGGGGTGGGTTCTAAATTTTTTTACTACCGGTTCTGTGGGTGTGGCTTATTTTGTGGGCGGGGCTTGATGGTCATGTGACAATTCTTTAGGATTTAGTAGAGGTACTGGTCTACCAGGCTTTTAACTGCTTGCAGAGCTGTACTGGTCTACCCATTTATTTTTGCAGGCACTGGTCTACCCATTTATTTTTGCAGGCCCCGATCTACTCATTTGTTTTTGGAGGCACCGGTCTACCACCAAACTGCCTTTTACCACCAATCAGCTGTAGGGCGGCCCTTTGAAGCCCCACGGCAAGAGTTTAAACAGTTTTTCCTTATAGCCCATCAGCTGGAACTCAGGAGGCAGCAATAGATTGGGGGTGGGCCAAATAAAAGGCAAGAATAACGCGGTGGGGCAGAACCGGTTCGTTGACATCATATTGTCACTGCTACCGGCTCGGCGGAACCAGGAGGAACCCACCACTGATAGATTGTTAGGTGAACAAACCAAAATATGGAATCTTAAAAGGGAGACTCTGCAGAGGAATAAAAAAGTCGATGGCAAGAAACTGAGGATTAATACAGCCTTTCCAACTGTCCAGTGTTTTGAGATTATATCTTACCAAATTCCCAACCACCTTGACCAAAGGCATTATAATCCCAGCCAGGGAATCACACCGGGTACCCGGAAGACTACTAAATGTGTAATTTTTAGGATTTTCTCTGTTTCTTTCAATGCTATATGTATGTAAGTTCTTTGGAAGATGCTTTTGCAAAGATCAATATTTTTTTTCCCCCAGCTCTTTAGTGAGACTGGATTCAGGACTGAATTTTGTAAGAAAGTGAAATAGCACCACCTTTTGGCTACTTGGGAGGAAGTGAATATGATCCATAAACCAATCCTTTGCATTTGCTTTTTGTACATTTAAAAGAGGGCACGAATTATTGCTCTTCTTAATCAGAAACCTTCCTTCTTTCCTCCCTCCTTCCACCCTCCCTTTCTTTCTTTCTTTCTTTCTTTCTTTCTTTCTTTCTTTCTTTCTTTCTTTCTTTCTTTTTCCTTTCCTTTCCTTTCCTTTCCTTCCTTCCTTCCTTCCTTCCTTCCTTCCTTCCTTCCTTCCTTCCTCCCTTCTTCTTCCCTCTCTCCCTCTCTTTCTTCCTCCCTCCCTCCCTCCCTCCCTCCCTCTCTTCCTTCTTGCAAAGTCTCTAAATCTGAATCCTAATCAGAATTCAGTTGGTGCATCTCCCTTGAGGTCATTTAGTCAGTTTCATATTACCTTTTTAACTAAATGTATTTGCAATTCACAAACTCCTAAGGTGCAATTCAGGTTGTATCATTGCTTAAATATTAAACTGTTTTACTTTTTCATGGGGGTTTGGGCATGTTCAATTTTTTTCTGGATTTCCTCATTCTAAGGATCACTAAATGAATGGTTATGAGTTGTTAAGTGTTTAACAAAGCATAGTGCTTAAGAGAGTCAGTGTCAACTCGCAAAGCATTCCTGACCTGCTCTCAAGTTGCCATAGGCAAGTGGGATGGGAAAAGGAACTCTGCAGCTGCCGCGAAGCAGACGTCAGTCAAAACAAAAGCACATTCCAGCCATATCTCTGTCAAGGCTGTCTCCACGGTTACCCACAGTGGCCGGAGGGAGTGATCTCTACAACCCGCAAAATTGCTTCATTGGAAAATGTGATTGATGACACCCCTTGGGGGGAGCGGGGAAACAGGGTCAAAGCTGGAACGTAAATTAGGTGGGGTCAGATTTGGCTTCATTTGGAATGTGCCAACATGAAGCTCCTAATAAATAACTGGATTTCTTTTGAAGCTTGGCTTGAGGCTCATGATTTAATTAGGGCATCGGTCAGAATTCTGACAGTCAGCATATTTCTCCCAACAATCTGGGTCCTCATGTTACTGACCTCGGAAGGATGACGGCTGAGTCAACCTTGAGCTGATCAGGATCAAACTACTGGCAGTGGGGCAGAGTCAGCCTGCAACACTGCATTCTAACCACTGTGCCACTAGGACTTTTCTCTTTCTATGGATATAATAGTGACTACATGGGATTCATGTGAGGTTAAAGTTTATTTTAATGTCTTTTTTGTCTGTTTAATACATCTGCTTGAGACTCAACAACTGTGACCTATTAAGGCAAATCCATATGAAGACTCAAAACTTTTGCGGGGGAAATGTAAAAATCCTATCACTCCTGTTACAGGTATCCACCTGCGAAACCTGCATTCTTACATTGAGATACCGGTCAAGTGCAATTATTGTGATAGTGCCTTCCACGAGCGTTACGCTCTGCAACAACACAAGAAGATACATAGAAATGAAAAGAAATTCAAGTGTGATCAATGCAGCTACATGTGCAAACAGGTATTTATGAGATGGCCCAGCTCTGATTGCTGTTGATCAGATTTATAGACTTCCCTTTTTTGGCGGACCTCAGCGTTCCCTTCTCCAATTTTTCCTGACAACAACAACGCTGTGAGGTAGGCTGGGCAGGGGGAATGACTATCCTAAAGTCACCCAGGGAGTTTCCATGGTTGAGGATGAACTAAAATTTGGATGGCTCTGTCAACCTTGGGGGAGAGGTTGGCCTAGGCCAGGGGTCTCCAACCTTGGCAACTTTAAGACTTGTGGACTTCAACTCCCAGAATTCCTCAGCCAGTTGGCTGAGGAATTCTGGGAGTTGAAGTCCACAAGTCTTAAAGTTGCTAAGGTTGGAGACCCCTGGCCTGGAAGACTTTCAAGATCTGTTTCAACTCTCTGTTATATATGGGCTTTCATTGTCATGTAACTGTTTCCTGATACAAACTCCTATGGAATATCAGACTTTATTGTTGCAAAAGGGAGGAATTATTGCTAAGCTGTGTGGTCTGTGACTTCCTCTTTAGAGCAAAAATGCACCTTGACAGATGTCACAATTAACATTTGAAAAGCCAGAGTGAAGATGAGCAGAATTGTATTGGGTGAGATTGGATCATTATCCATTAATTCCTGGTTTTCTAGACAAGACAGAACTATTTTCTGAGGTGGCTTTACCTCAGAAGGAATTGAATTTTCTTCCTGCTGAAAGTAGTCTTATTCCAAAGCCAGGTTGCTCTCACATACCTTGGTTGCTTAAATACCAACTTCAGAACTGATAGAAACAAAAAAAACAAAAACAAAAACAAGGCCACTCTAGCAGGTATGGGATAGAGAAATAATGTTACATATAACTTGATTCTTCTTTGCCCCCCCCCTTTAAATTATCCCAATCATGGATTTCCATTTTTCTAAATATTTGTAGATAACCTGGTTATCTACAAGACTGCATTCTGCCACCGATTGCCTCCCACTGACCGGTACACTCACACAGAGAGGGCCTCCTCAGGGTGCCGTCAGCCAAACAATGTAGACTGGCGACCCCCAGGGGGAGAGCCTTCTCTGTGGGGGCCCCTGCCCTCTGGAATGAATTACCCCCAGACATACGAAGGACCCCCGACCTCCGCACCTTCCGTCGTGCAGTGAAGACCCTGTTATTCCAGCAAGCCGCTCTGATGGGATAAATGATTTTAATTTGGTTTTAATGGGGTTTTAAAAATTGGTTTTAAAATGAGAATTTTAAATTCGGCCTATGATTTTATTATTTTAATCTGCTTTTAAATTCTATTTTCGTACATTGTTTTTATTATGGCTGTTCACCGCCCTGAGTCCTTCGGGAGAAGGGCAGTATATAAATTAAATAAAATAAATAAATTTGCTTTTATTGAAATAAACTGAACATCTCGTTTGGAGATTATATAGTAGTGTGTTAAACTTCAAAGATGATAAAAGGTGTTGAGGATAAAGCATATGATGAACAGCTAAGGGAGCTAGGTATGTCTAGCTATTTAGAATTAGAATTCTTTATTGGCCAAGTGTGATTGGATACACAAGGAATTTGTCTTTGGTGCATATGCTCTCAGTGCACATAAAAAGAAAAGATACATTCCTCAAGAATCATAAGGTACAACACTTAATGATAGTCATAGGGTACCAATTTATACTGTGACACAATATCCTCTTGCACCCTTTAAGAATATCTGCAGTACAGGTACTTCTCAATTATCAACTGTCTTGTTCGGCGACCATTCAAAGTTTACAAAGGTGCAAACCTCCTCCCCTCAGCTTTGCGATCAAGCCTCACATTTACAGCCATTGTAGGGTCCTGTGGTCACATGATCATCATTTGAGTAGTTTGCAACTGGCTTCCAACAAGCAGAGTTCTAGAGAAGGGAAAGTGAGGTCATAAGCCAATTGTGACCATGTAATTTTCTACCTAGTGTTTGCAGAGCTTAGCAATAGAATTGCCAGTCCCAATTGTGGTCACTAAGAGAGGACTACTAGTGTGTATTTGTGTCCGTGTGTATGCACGCACGTAAGCACACACACACACACAAACACACACAATTTAATATATGCAGGTAGCTCCATTGCATCTCATTCTCAGAGTAGGGTCATTAAGCTGTTAAAGGATAACAGTAGGATGTCTTATATCACTGAAATAACTCTGCCAGCTGTCCCAGAGATGCTTTTCAAAAGGCAATTGGACTTTCTTTGTTTGATTTTTCCTTGAAGACATTTTCGCTTCTCATCCAAGAAGCTTCTTCAGTTCTGAAATACAATTCAGAACTGAAGAAGCTTCTTGGATGAGAAGCGAAACGTCTTCAAGGAAAAAACAAAAACAAAGTCCAGTTGCCTTTTGAAAAGCACCTTTGAGACAACCATGACCTGGACGACTGAAAATCTCCATAAATAACTGGGCAAGTAGCTTTGAAAAAAACAGTGGAGAGGCCTTGGAAATGGTTGTAAATGGTTTAGTATCTGAGGGATAATTCTGCATTTACGCAGCTTTGTTAGCAAAATCCTTGGCTTTGTTTTGATGAAGTCTTCTTTCTCCCAGGAACGCCACATGATTGTGCACAAGCGGATGCACACCGGTGAGAAGCCCTTTGTTTGCGTCTCCTGCAATGAGGGCTTCCGGCAGAAACAGCTCTTAACCATTCACTTCAAGAAACACCACGATTCCAGCTTTGAGCCAAAGGTCTATGCATGTCCCAAGTGTGGCAAGGTCTATTCACGTTGGGTAAGGTGACTTGTTTGCCTTTTTGAAGAGGTCTGTAACCATATGCACAGCAGCTGGAGAACAATATTTGTATTCAGTGGATTCCGTGCAAATACAGATTTTCACTGTCCCAGATTTGGGCTGCCATCTAGATGTGTTCAATTCTGATTCCCCATGCTGGTTAATTTATTTTATTTTATTTATTTATTTGTCAAGCACGTATAAGATAACAGATATAAGTATAAACATGATTATGAATACAGGATAAGGATATGAATAAATGGGGACATTAGGACAGGGACAGTAAGCACGTTGGTGCGCTCATACACGCCCTCTTTATGGACCTCTTAGGAATGGGATGAGGTCAACAGTAAACAGTCTAAGGTTAAAGTTTTGGGAGGTTTGGGGAAGAAACCACAGAGTGAGGTAGTGCATTCCAGGCATTGACCACTCTGTTGCTGAAGTCGTATTTTCTGCAGTCGAGTTTGGAGCGGTTTACCTTGAGTTTGTATCTGTTGTGTGCTCGTGTATTGTTGTGGTTGAAGCTGAAGTAGTCATTGACAGGTAGGACATTGTAGCAGATAATTTTGTGTACTACACTTAGGTCAGACCGAAGGCGGTGTAGTTCTAAGTTGTCTTAAGCCCAAACTTTCAAGCCTCCTGGCATAAGGGATTCTGTTGCGAGCAGAGGAGTGGAGGACTCTTCTCGTGAAATACCTCTGGACTCACTGGACAACATTTTTTCCCCCAAAAGTTTTGCTTCTTGAAAAACTTTTGGTGATTATGATAGACCCCTTCAAACTGAACCCAAATATAATTTCAGAAACCTTGTACAGTTAGTCCTCGATTTACAACAGTTCATTTAGTGACAATTCAAAGTTACAACATCACTGAAAAAAAGTGATTTGTGACCGTTTTTCACATGACCGTGGCACCATCCCCATGGTCACATGATCAAAATTCAGACGCTTGGCAACTGACTTGTATTTATACTGGCTGCCGTGTCCCCGGGGTCACATGATCCCCTTTTGCAACCTTCTGACAAAGCAAAGTCAATGGGGAAGTTCAGATTTGCTTAACAACCGTGTTGCTAATTTACCAACTGCAGTGATTCACTTAACAACCGTGGCAAGAAAAGTCGTAAAATGGGGCAAAACTCATTTAACAAATGTTTCACTTAGCAACAGAAATTTCGGTCTCGTTTGTGGTCGATTGAGGACTACCTATATTACATAGGAATTTTGAGACATGAAATTAACTTTTAATGGCTATAATGTATTTAATCGCATAATGTTGCTGACACGCTGCGTGAATTAAACAGTCAAAAGTGTTTTACTGCTGATTCTTGTTTGTACTCAATATTCAAAGCATCTTGCTGGAGTATCCAGTAGTCCACCAGCATTAATGGATATTATTTTTTATTTATTTATTTTTTATTTATTTATTTATTTAGTTTGTCAAACATGTACAAGATAACAGGTATGAGTATAAACACGAATATGACACAGGAAATGGATACGAATAAATGGGGACAGTAGGACTGGGAGTGTAGGCACGTTGGTGCGCTTATGCACGCCCCTTACAGACCTCTTAGGAATGGGGTGAGGTCAACAGTAGACAGTCTAAGGTTAAAGTTGTGGGGGTTTGGGCAGAGGTAAAATCTACTTACCTTCCTTACTGGTTCGGATGCGCGCAGACGGTCAAAAACACATTACTTCCTGGTTAAAACCAAGAAGTAATGACATCCGGGCGGATGGGCGGAGCTTTGTTCCGCCATCGCTATCGGATTGCCGAACCAATGGCCAAGATCGCTACTGGACCGGGCGATCCGGTCCGATCCGGGAGCATTTCACCCCTGGGTTTAGGGAAGAAACTACAGAGTCAAGTAGTGCATTCCAGGCATTGACCACTGTGATTCTCTTACACGGCTGTCCCATTCACATGTGTAGCAACAGTACTTGCTATAGCTGAGCTGCATTCCAAGCAACAGAATCACTACTTTTAGATCTCCACAGATATCCCAGTTGCACTTGGTGTATTGGATGTGCTTCAACCACAGCCCCTTGTTTTCATATGTTTCTTTCATTTCTTCAACTCAACCAGCAGCTACCAAATGGCGTTCATTGCCATTTTGTAAAAAGAGAAGATTTCTATAAAACATTTATTTATTTATTTATTTATTTATTTATTTATTTAATTAATTAATTAATTAAGTTTTATACTGCCCTTCTCCCGAAGGACTCAGGGCGGTGAACAGTTAAAATAACTTACATATAAAATGTGAATATAAGATGATTAAGCCAATTTGGTTCATTGGTTAAGAATCTTCAGCATAAAGATTTAGAACAATTAGAGGAGATTTATGCCAGCCCGGCTTGGTGAAATAGAAAGGTCTTAAGTGCACGACAGAAAGTACGAAGATCTGGGATCATTCGTATCCCTGGGGGTAACCTGTTCCAAAGGGTAGGTGCCTCCACAGAAAAGGCTCTTTCTCTGGGAAAAATTACGTTATCAAAAATCACATTACGTGATTGGCATTTGATTAGCAGCCAAAAATTTATAAGACACACCCAAAGGCGTTCAGGAAACAAGATCTTTGTTGTCCAATGTGACAAGAAGTATAATTGTACTTCTTGGAAGGTGCCAAATCAGCTGCTGTGCAGGCCTTAATTTCCCAGACATTTTTCAGCCACTGCGGACATTTTACATTGACTCATAACTGCTGAGTCTGCAGCTGGATCATTCCCAGGGAAACTATGAATAGCTGCAGTTGTCAGCTGATTTTCTGCAAATGAATAATGGTATGTGGGAATGACTTTGATAGATCGGGCCGGGGGGGGCGGGGGGATGTCTCCTAGGGAATGGTCAGATAAGAGACAGCAGAGCCCGCAGGTGGATTGTGGGCATGGCAAGAGGTTCAGAAGGAAATCTTCCTACGTTTTCAGGCTGTAACGTTAACAGTAGGAGAATTGTACTTTCAGACTTGCAAGAGTCTATTAATGTAGCTTTACAATAAAGCAGAATTTGCTTATCTGGCTTTTTTTCCTGCCTGGTCTATCTAATAAGGCTGACAAAGATGCCACATGCCAATGCCATGGACAGGGAGATAAATGGGACATGGGAAGAGACCAGAAGTCTAGGAAGGGATTGCACAACTGTAGAGCATAAAAAGGAAAAGAAATGTTCCAAAAGTGTTTCCTGTAGTTTATTTATTTAGTTAGTTAGTTTGTCAGACATGTATAAGATAACAGATATAAGTATAAACATGATTATGAGTACAGGATAAGGATACAAATAAATAGGGACATTAGGACAGGGACAGTAGGCACGCCTCCTTTACGGACCTCTTAGGAATGGGGTGAGGTCAACAGTAGACAATCTAAGGTTAAAGTTTTGGGGGTTTGGGGAAGTAACCACAGAGTCAGGTAGTGCATTCCAGGCATTGACCACTCTGTTGCTGAAGTCGTATTTTCTGCAATCGAGTTTGGACCGGTTTACCTTGAGTTTGTATGTAATATGTGCTCATGTATTATTATGGTTGAAGCTGAAGTGGTCATTGACAGGTATAACGTTGTAGCAGATAATTTTTTGTACTACGCTTAGGTCAGACAGTAGGCGGCGTACTTCTAAATTGTCTAAATCTAAATCTAGAGCTTATTGGAGAATTTCTCTTTAACCTGGAGAAATCCAGAGAAAACTTCCACTCCATTTCTTTGCTTACAAGAGCTGATGGGAAAATGTTGAGACACCTTTTGTGTTTCACTAATAAAAGAAGGACAACAACTGTCACATTTGCAGCAAGGATTCTGGGGTGCTCTCCCTGGCAGGACTGAGATAATTATTTTGAGGTTGCATAGGTAGACCTTGATTTACGAATGTAATGTAGCCTGCCGATTATTACAGTTGCAAGCCATGATGGTTCTTAAGTGAGGCGCCTACAGGTCCCTTGGGCCTGTTTCCCACCCCACCGTGGTCCCACACCCTCCATCCCCCATCATCAGTTGGTCAGTTACATACTGTAGATCTTCTAGAAGCTCCAGAGATCATGTTGGGAAAGGGGAACAGTCTGCTCTGCCCCTCAGCCACCCATCAGCAGGCCATGTGATTCTGCCCCAGAAGTAGGCATCATTTTGGGAGTGATTGCAAGGAAGGCCTGTGGGGTGGGATCGGGCAAATACAGGTGGGGGGACAGTCTAGCATCCCTTCAGTCAGTCGTAAGGACGGACAGATTGCCAAGCAAATTTTGTTCAAATGGCTGTAGTGGCCAAAACGTCAAAATTGGGTCATAAGTACCTTTTTGTGGGTGTGTCTTAAATTCCAATGCTAAACAGTTGGTCACAAGAGCCGTGGTGACGCAGTGGTTGGAATGCAGTACTGCAGGCTTATTTCTGCTGATTGCCGGCAGTTCGGCAGTTCAGTTCTCACCGGTTCAAGGTTGACTCAGCCTTCCATCCTTCCGAGGTCGGTAAAGTGAGTACCCAGATTGTTGGGGGCAATATGCTGACTCTGTAAACTGCTTAGAGGGGGCTGTAAAGTGAGGTGATATATAAGTCTAAATGCTATTGCTATAAGTGGAGTACTGCCTGTATATCAACTTCCCCTCTCCTGCCACCTAAGACTCTGATTCCATTCAGCTTGGTTATGCTGGCTAAGGAAGGGCACTTAAAGATTTCTCCCTTTCCTAAAACACTGTGCATTCATGCTTTTAAATGGTTGGGTAAATTCTCTTTTGGTCCTTTCTTCCTGTATAGAATAACATGCTCAAGCATACTGAAAAGTGCAGAGAGACAAGAGCTGTTGAAAGCTCTCCATCCTGCAAAGCAAACAAGAGGAAGAAAAGAGAAAGGCGAAGTCATCCTGTGGCCAAACAAGAAGGTAATAAATGAGATGATCACAATGAAACACAGCAAGAAAGCTTTTTTTTGACAAGGAAGGGTGTTTGTTTTTTTCCTGGCCAGGTTTAGAATCTGCACATAAAAAAAAAATAAGGCCCTCATTAACTTATCTTTTTATAATAAGTAAAATTCCAGCACAGATATAATCACATTTTGAAAATTGCAATAATAGATAAGCCATCAATGCATCTGCATGTTAAAATCTGTTTCAATAAATGTGAAGAAGAAAAAAGACACTAGCTTTTCAATAAAACCGTGATGGCGAACCTATGGCATGTGTGCCCAAAGTGGCACGTGGAGCCATGTCGCCTGGCACATGTGGCGTATCCTGTTCCTCTTCTGGGTTTCTGGAGCACATGCACGCGCGACAATCGGCTGGCCTTTTTGCATGCGGCAGTGCTGGAAACTAGAACATCTTCTAGCTGGTCTTCCATTTTCCTGGGTGAACATGCGCGCCAGCCAGCTGATCGTTGCATGCACATGCGTGCCTGAAACCCGGAAGAGTAGCTGGCTGAAACCAGAAGTTCATTAGCTGAAACCAGAAGTTCATTTTTGGGCGCACGCATGTGCCCAGGTTGCAGCCCAGACGTGCTCGCGCTCCTTTTTCGGCACTCAGTGCCTAAAAGGTTCACCATCACTGCACTAAATACCATATTTTTTGGAGTATAAGACACACAACTCTGACTTGGATGGTGGGGAACGGAAAGATTTATACTCCTTGCAGACAGCTGGTCATTTGCATCCTTTAGAGAGTCGTTGAGGCCACATCATCTATCTCCAGTCTACAACACAGTCCTTTCAACAGTTCCAAGAAGGCTCCACGGCCATTTGCACCACTTAGGTGACCCTAACAATACAGATAAGCCTCCAAGTGGCCTCAAGGACTCTCTAAAAGAATGCAAATGTCCAGCTGTCTGCAAGGAGTATATATCTTTCCATTCCCCACCATCCAAGTCAGAGCTGAAGAAGCTTCTTGGATGAAAAGCAAAACGTCTTCAAAGAAAAACAAGAAACTCTGATTGCCTTTTGAGAAAGCACCTTTGGGACATCCATGACCTGGATGATTGAGAATCTCTATAGACAGTTGCTTGACAGTGTTACAGATGTTGCCGCAGGATGTAAGCTGTTCCAAGTTCCCTTTTTCAATTGACTGATGGTGATCTTGTCAATGCCAATGATGCTCAAATGGTGCTCCAGATGTTTTGGGATTGCATCCAAGGGGCCTATTATTACTGGTACTGTCTTTACTCTCATTTGCCACAGTTGTTGTTCTTCTATTCTCAGATCTTTGTATTTTTCTGCAGGTTTTTCTCTTTTCTTCTGCGTCTCTAGGTACTGCAATGTCTATTATCCAGACTTTGTCTTTCTTATCAACATTTGTTGTTGTTATGTTTGATGGACATGTTCTAAACTTTTTTCCTGGTTAGTTTTGCTTGCGCACACAATAAGCTGCTACACATTAGAAGCACCCTTTTTAATCTTCTTCCTTTCAGACATTACAGAGACAGGTGAACTTGCCTTCTCTGCTTCCCCATAATATTTAGAATTATTCATTGCTACCCTCCCCAATGACAGTTTTATTGGTATAATTAGGGCCAAGGTTGGTAAGGAAAATATAATCATTAATCAGTTTGAAGCATGCAGAGTATTTTCAGTTTCAGAAGTCATGTGTAAAAGTATTCTGTCTGCCTACATAATGAGCCCAGAGACCCTTATCATCATGTTGCAATTTTTTAATTTTTTTTTTTTCATACATTTTGGGCTTCCTGCCACATCCTTTCATCTATAGCTGTCCCAAAAAACCGTAACAGGGAGTCTTTGACTTTCTACAACGGATACATAATTGAGCTTGGAAATTATAACATACATTGTGACAGTTGTAAAGTGGGACATCATGTGACTGACACCCTTGTTTTGCAGCAGTTGTAGAGCAAACACCATGGTTATTAAGTGAACGCATTCTTGGTTATCGGGCAGATTTTGCTGGAAACTAGAAGTAAATGCCGGTTTCCAGTAAAAACATCATAAATCGCAGTGACAGGGCTAGTTCAAACAGCCATAAATGTGAACCTGTTGTTGAGCGCTCCCAGTATAGTCATGTGATTGTGGGCAGGGGGCATAGCTGCCAGGACCTAGTTATAAGTAGTTTTTGGGATTCGTTTTAACTTCATGAAGTTTGTAAGGAATTGGTCACAATTCAAGGACTACTTGTAGTTGGAGAATGGGAGGTGGAGGTGTCCTGAATAACATAGGACATAGAAAGGGGTTTGTTTTGAGCGACGTGATGGCCTAATGATGGAGACATTCACCTCCCACTTGGAAGATTGAGAGTTCAATCCTAAGCAGTGACAGATGTTTCTCTCTCAGGGCACAAAGAGAAAATATCTGCTGTGAACTCCACGTGGCATCAGGAAGGGCATCCAGCCAGTAAATGCTCGGCTCCATCCAGTCGCCCCGATTCTACCCTGAATTAAGGAGTTATAGGGTTGTAAAATAAGAGTTTATAGAAAGGGGTTTGCCTATGGAGATTCTCAGTCATCCAGGTCATGGTTGTCCCAAAGATGCTTTTTGAACAGGCAACTGTACTTTCTGGGGTTTTTTTGAAGACGTTTCGCTTCTCATCCAAGAAGCATCTTCAACTCTGACTGAATAGTGGGAAATGGAAGGATTTATACTCCTTGCAGACAGCTGGTCATTTGCATCCTTTTAGAGAGTCGTTGAGGCCACCTAGAGATTTATCTGTGTTGTCAGGGTCACCTGAGTAGTGCAAATGAGTGTGGAGCCTTCTTAGCAAATGTCCATATTCACCTTGATTATTTTTTCTCTTCAAGAAGCTGTTTGTGTGAACACTCCGTTCTGCACCCCGTACTGTGTTTCTCACGAAGCATGGGAGAAGAAAGAAACTGCCCTGAATGACAGTAAAGCGGGAATTACTTGTGAGACCATCTTCAGTTTGATGGACAAGTAGTGCTGTTTGCTCCTTCTTCTTTCTGCTTGCAAAGCAGTGGCTTCCATTCTAGAAGAGCATAAAAACCCAGATGGAGATCTGCGATGTTTTCTCGTATAATTATTCAAGGGCTAAATTTTGCTCACCGCCTTGTCTTTTGGTCTTGTTTGGATAGTGTCGTATACAGAGGAGAATCTTTACATGGTTAAATATGTGGAATCCTTTCCGTTCTGTGAGACCCTTTCCATTGTTTCCGGCTTTAGTGTTTTAGGTAACCAGAGTTGGAGTTAAGCTCTGATATCAGTTTATTCTTCCGTGGCGATGTTCCCCCATTGCTTTTTATGGCAAATTCATCTCCAGGTCAGGTTTAGATGTTAATGTAGAGTCAGTCAGAGGTGGGATTCACTTACCTTCACTACCGGTTCGCAAATGTGAGCACACGCACCTCCTCTGCACATGTGCATGGCCTTCCGCGCATGCGCAGTGCTCGCGCATTACGTCCAGGCGGGTGGGCAGAGCCTCCCGCAGTCGCCACTACCGGTTCGCTTGAACCGGACAGAACCGGCTGAATCCCACCTCTGGAGTCAGGGGCCTTTACATTTTTGCTCCCAATGGCAACCCCAAGCTCCTGCCATTATGTATTGCGAAACAGATCTCATTGAACTGAATGGAAAGCTTGATTTTTATCAATATGTGACCATGATCAAATCAAACCAAACTTAGATGCACATACATGAACATGGGACATCATAAGAACTGAATCTGAACCTACCTTGTCCTCGTTTTTGTGGAACCGTTGATCTAATCAAGTACTCCCAACAGTTGGTTAAATATTAAAGCCGAAGTTCTTGTACCAAAGTGCTCTTGCTTAGTTCTTTTTAAATGTGTTGTAAGTATCGCATAGAAATCAGAACAAATGAGGTTAGTTTAGGCTAGTGGTTTCTTTATGATAATAGTGCAATAGTCTTTTATTTAAATATTTATTTTATTTAAACATTTACTTATTTGACACGAAAAGTACTGTTAAAGCTGATGCTATGTCTGTGTTTTATTAGAACATTAGAGCTATTCCGTGGCTAACTGGGGAAAATTGCTATGCCATTGTTATTTAGGCATAGAAATGCAAAGTATAATCAGTTCTTGTTTAATAAAGTTTCTGTGCATAGTTTGGTTGAATTCAGCTGTTTTCTAAAATCATTGGATGTCGGCTATGGTGGAATTCAAATTTTTTTACTACTGGTTCTGTGGCGTGGCTTGGTGGGCATGGCAAAATCCCCATTCCCTCCCCACTCTTGGGGGAAGGATATTGCAAAATCTCCATTCCCACCCCACTCTGGGGCCAGCCAGAGGTGGTATCTGCCGGTTCTCCGAACTACTCAAAATTTCCACTACCGGTTCTGTAGAACCTGCTAAATAGCACCTCTAGATGTCTGGCTTGTCGTGGGTAAAACCAGAACTAAGTATTCTACATTCAGAGGTTTAGGGACTTGGAAGACCGTGTATAAAATCTGCAAAGATGTGTTTTACAGGCAGGCAGTCCTTGACTTACAGCAGTTCATTTAGTGACCATTCAAACTTACAATGGCACTGAAAAAAGTGACTTATGACCACTTTTCACCCTTACAACCACGATAGCATCCCCAGAGTCGTGTGATCAAAATTCAGACTCTTGGCAGCTGATTCATACTTATGACCGTTGCAGTGTCCCCAGAGGTGAGCGTCACATAATGTAACAGCCAGTTTGCCCAGAACCGAAACTGTGAGCGTGTGCGGTATCAAACACATGGCGATTATATAGGACTGGATAGCGCCAGGGCGGTCGGAACTACCGGTTCGTCTGAACTGGCAGCAGCCCATCTCTGAGTGTCCTGGGGTGATCCCCTTTTGTGACCTCCTGACAAGCAAAGTCAATGGGGAAGCCAGATTCCCTTACCTACCGTGTTATTAACAGCTGCAGTGATTCACTTAACAACTATGGCAAGAAAGGTGGCAAAACTCACTTAACAACGATTTCTGCTTAGCAACAGAAATTATGGACTCTATTGTGGTCGTAAGTTGAGAACTACCTGTATTGCAAACAGACATCCGCCATCAGATTGACAAAATATGTGACATCATGATACAAGCTTGCCTTCGTACTTGTATCACAACATCGCACATATGTAGTAAGGATTGGGGTCCAACCAGGCATCTACCAGGTATGTTTCCTGCCTAAGCGGGGTTGGACTAGAAGACCTCCAAGGTCCCTTCCAACTCTGTTACTCTATTCTACCAAGAGTGGACATCAACCCTTTCCTGCCATTGCTCCCAAAGAGCTCACTCCATGTTCAACTACTTACTGTCTGGGCTTTCCACCCATTGACCATTCGATGAGATTTCTAACAGCCATCACTTCTGAAGGCAAGCCATTCCATGGGTTTATTGTTCTCACTATCAGGAAATTTCTCTTTGGTTAGGCTAGCCATCCTCAGGAACAGTTTAAATGACAAACTATATGCATTCAAATATGTTACATTTATTATACATAAATGCCGTATATTAATCAGCTGGGAGAAAATAATCTTCCTCCAAAAGATGATCAGTTATGGAAGCAAGAACTTCCATAAAAGTTACTATTACTCCATCTGGATGTGATGGCCGTTACAAATACTTACCTCAAGGTGGCGATAGAATTTCATGTGTATTAGATAACCAGCTTTAAGAATTTTGCTCTTTTCAGGAAGGAATAATGTCTGCAGGATCAAAGGAACTTCTGGCCATCCAAAAGTGAACAGATGGAATGACCATCTCAGTGTTAGCTGAGTTGGGGCGGAATTGATAGAAATCTCATCGAATGGTCAATGAGTAGAAAGCCCAGACACTAAGGCAGAGGTCTTCAAACTTGGCAGCTTTAAGACTTGTGGATTTCAACTCCCAGAATTCTCCAGCCAGCTATTAGGCTATTATTACAGTTGAAGTCCACAAGTCTTAAAGCTGCCAAGTTTGGGGACCCTTGCACTAAGGCTAAAAAAATGACAGGTGTAAAGAAGGTTCAGGTACTGATATTTGTCTTGTTAAAACTGGCTGCTCACAAAAAACCCATATCTTGCATGGATGAGCCTCGGTGGTGCAGTGGACTAAAGTGCTGTTAAGTGCTAGCACTTAGCTGCCAGCTGCCTGCAATTAGTGCAAGTTCGAATCTTACCAGGCTCAAGGCTGACTCAGCCTTCCATCCTTTCAAGGTAGGTAAATTGAGGACCCGGATTGTGGGGGCAATAAGCCAACTTTGTATAGAAGAGCACCACTGGGGGGGTGGGCAAAGCCCTAATAAGCAGGTATATACAAAAAAAGTATGCAGGCTATTGCTATAATGCATTGTAAGCCGCCCTGAGTCTACAAAGAAGGGTGGCATATAAATTGGACTAATAAATAAATAAATAAATGAGCTGAATAACAAATACATTCATTTTTAAAAAAATATCTCTCTTCAAGGGGCAGTTTTGCTCCTTCATGAATTATAATTCATATTCCGGTGCATTTTGAGTGTAATTATTTCATTCAAGGATAGCCATGCTGAGGTTAGCCACAGAAACCAGTTTCACATTAGTTTGTTTTAACCGTGGTTTATTATATAAACCATAAAGATTGCCTTCATTCAACATGTTGAGCCATAATCGAAGTATCAAACCACAATATATGGTTAGCAGAGATGGAAATCTGGTTCTTTAACCTCTTGGACCAAACTGGCTTTCCACTGCAAAAGAACAGAGTTGGAAGGACTTTGGATACCATCAGTCAAACCCCCTGATCAAGCAGGAAACCATTTCAGACAAATGTCCAACTTCTTCTTTTAAAGCTTCCAGCGTTGGAGCACCCACCAACCTCTGGCTGTAGTCAGGTAACACAATTCTAAATGTCACTGGTCAATGGGACTTGGGGCTTCTTAACTACAGTAGTAGTTAACTACAGTAGTGGCCAAAATTGTGGAAAAGTGTATTTGGGAAAAGTGGGAAAAGTATATTTTCTAAATCTCTAAAACTGGCTAATAACATAACTTTTGTTTGGAGTAGTACCCTAAAATTATATATCAAATGGAAAGATAATTTAATCAAGAATGTAATGCAGAAGGATTTGCTATTGGAATAGCAGTTACAATGTAAAGAAGAAACGCGTAGAAAAAATGAGATATACAAAAATTATCACCATAGAAAAATGAGATATACAAAAATCATCACCATGTCAGTTAATATTTAGTTGGGTAATCTTTAGCATGAATTACAGCCTTACAACATCTTCCCATGGAGTGAACCAAGTCTTTTAGTTCTGCAGCTGTTATAATGTGAAACCAAGATTGAATGATTGCTTCTATTAACTGGGTTTCATTGCTGGGTTGCTTCTGACTAACAAGTTTCTTTAGTTAGCTCCATAGATTTTCAATTGAGTTAAGATCTGGGCTATTCCCAGGCCATTCCAACAGTGGAATATGATTATCTTGAAACTCCAAAAAAAAAAAAAAAGAATAGAATAGAATAGAATAGAATAGAATAGAATAGAATAGAATAGAATAGAATAGAATAGAATAGAATAGAATAGAATAGAATAGAATAGAACAACAGAAAAGAACAGAACAGAACAGAACAGAATTTTTTATTGGCCAAGTGTGATTGGACACACAAGGAATTTGTCTTGGTGCATACGCTCTCAGTGTACATAAAAGAAAAGATACAGTCGTCAAGAACCATAAGGTACAACACTTAATGCTAGTCATAGGGAACAAATAAGCAATCTGGAAACAATATCAATATAAATCGTAATGATACAAGCAACAAAGTTACAGTCATACAGTCATAAGTGGAAGGAGATGGGTGGTGTTAATAGCCATCAAACCTCAAAAATACACTTTTCCCAAAAGGTTTCCACAATTTTGCCCACTACTGTAGGTGTGCACAGGATGCCACTTGGATGATTAAGCAGACCTCTTTGGGACATGCTCACACATACACCCAACTATAGTCTGCCACTTAGAAAGGGGAGTGACAGGGAGGGACTGTTGTGCTGCTAAGCAACTTAGCAACACCTGCTAGATTTCTAGGGCTCCCTGCTTTCAACCACCTCATCTGACCATCACTAAACTTGAGCGCCTGAGGAAATGTTAGCTGGAATTGTGTAGAGTCAGGCCAAATGTTTTATGCATCTGCACAGAAGATGGAGGACTAGCTGTTCTCATGCGTGGATCACTTGGAAAGCTGGTGACGGGGAAATGCTGGTGTGATACGATGAATCCCATGCTGGGGAGAGATCTGGGAGGGCTCAGCATGCATTTGAGACCCCCCACTCTACCCCTTAAGCCAGGGGTGAAATCCAGCAGGTTCTGACAGGTTCTGGAGAACCAGTAGCGGAAATTTTGAGCAGTTTGGAGAACTGGCAAATGCCACCTCTGGTTGGCCCCAGAGTGGGGTGGGGAATGGAGATTTTGCAATATCCTTCCCCCAAGAGTGGGGAGGGAATGGGGAGTTTGCAGTATCCTTCCCCTACCACGCCCACCATGCCCACCAAGCCACACCCACAGAACCAGTAGTAAAAAAAATTTCACCACTGCCTTAAGCCCTTATGGAACCCGTCCATGGAATTCAAGAGTTCTTGAAATCCAGTTTGAAAAAAAAAATATTTGAGCATTTTTTTTCTCTGTTTTATTTGATCCAAGTCAAGTGCTTAACATATTTCAGTCTGATTAGGAATGTATACAAAAGGGAGCAAATTTTCCTTTGTAATTTACGTCTGTAAAGAATAACTTTTCTAAGGCTAAGGAGAGAATGTTAAACCACCAGGCTTATATACAACCCTCTTAAGATCAGCTCTCAAGAGTCTTCCAAAAGAGGTTGGAGCCATTTTTAAGGTGGCAAAAGAGCAGCATTATTAAATACAGGACAGGAGAATCGCTACTACATACAATTTTGATTAAGTTAAGTATGCAAATGAGAGGTAAAACAATTTAATTTTTGTTTTACTTCACTCAAAGGTCAACTGTGTCTTTCAGCCTAGAAAAGTTGTAGATCTCTTCTTTAAAAGATACTGTACCATCCAGGTGGGTTCTAAAAATTTTTTACTACCGGTTCTGTGGGCGTGGCTTATTTTGTGAGCGTGGCTTGTGGGGGGTTTAATGTGACTGAGTATGCGTGGCCAACT